CCGGTCCTCATCATCCTTGCCCATGCTCTTCTTCATGGCCACCCATGCTAAAATGCTCTATGTCTCCTAATAAGTTGCCTGCCTTTTGGTTTGGATTCCTGAGCAATGGTTTAGTAACTAATCATGCTGCTGCTCCTAATGCATTAGCTGAACTTGAATATGGTGTGAAACTGCATTGCAGCTTGAGCAGCCTAATCATGCTGCTGCTCCTAATGCAATAGCTGAACTTGAATATGGTGTGCAACTGCATTGCAGTTTGAGCAGCCCAACATGCATGGTGTCATTGGCTCTTGATGTCCCTCATGACCATGAACCCTTGACTGCCTGATTGCCTTGATTTCCACTCATGATGCCTTGAGTGCCAAACATGATGCCCTGAATCACTCATGATGCCTTGCATCCTTTTTGCTCCAGGGCTCATAGCCTCTGATCAAAAACCTCATGCCAGGCCATCAGCAGCTGGTCCAGCACCTTGGATTGTAGGCTAGTTGTGCTGCCACTGCCCTTGATTAACTGCATGCTTGCTGATGGCCATGCAACTGCCCATCTATTGCTTGCAAGGCACTGCGCCTTACCCGCTTGTGCCATACCAGCTGATGAATGGCGCCTTGCATTGCACACCCAAACAAGTAACCAATGTCCCCTTCCATTGCACTTGCATTCATCATGTGCTGTCAAGTCACATCTTCCTGGCTGCATCAGGCTTAGAACATGCCCTTGATGCATTTCTGCCTTAAGTCCAAAGTGTGCATGCACATTGATGCTGATGACTTCTACCTTGACTCAACTAATTCTCCAAGGCTCCCTTTCTTATCCTCGCTTTCCTGGATCCTCATTTGCACACTATTCACATGTATGTTGCTTGCTGATGGTCAAGAGCTGATGTTTGTTAACTATGTATCCTGCTGATTGCTTGCTGGGTCTGTTGATTGATAATTCATCAAACTCATCAAATGCTTGCTTGCTGAGGCACATCTTGTCGATCTTGGTCATCTCCCTTTGGAATGACCACATGGGCTGCAATGGAATGTCCATTTCCCACTGATCCATTTGCTGATTGTAGTGCTCATAGAGCTTCCTTAATCAATGATGCACTTGGATATCACATCATGCACTCACAAGCTAACAGTTCTTTGATTGCTGATTCTGGATTGAAACTTCCAAGGCACACCAGCTGCTGCATCCTGGCATCAATGGCCTGGTATGCCTTGATGAGCTTGCTCCATGGGGGGCACATGCCCATGATGGAAGCAGCATCCTGATCCTCAGCACATCTCAAACACTTGCTAGTTTCAAGCACTCATGTAATCATTTGTTTACTAATTAATCCAATGCTCTGGATGGAATTGCTCCTGTTGCCATTCCTTCCTGTTGGCATTCTTCCTGATGAACTGCTCTTTATCATGTGCCACATAGTCCTTCATCCCACATACCTTGCGAATCAGCTGCTGATACCTTAGTTGAAAACAACAAGTCCAATCATCATGCAACTTAATTAGAATTTTGCTTCATGAACTGTCATTTCATTAGTTACTCAAAGCTGCTGGGCCTGCAGCTTTGCATCCAGCAATGCTGCACGAATTGCCAAATCCCATTCTGCCTCATAGTAATCCCCTTGGCTGGAATGAATAAAGCCAATCATGTGTTGCCATGCTGGTTGCAATGGTTGCCCTGCTGCATTGCCTGCTGATAATTAGCATTGCCTAATGAAACTAATGCTGGCAAGGTTCTGCTCATCCCTGGTGCAAATGTAGGGCGCAATCCCTGGATCATGCCCACCAATATGGCAGAATCCCCCATCTGATCATCATACCTGAGCCCAGTAATTAATTAATTAACTGAGTAACAGCTGATGACATCTGACTAACTAGTTCCTTATCACCTCATGTGCTCATCATCATGCTTCATGTAATTATCTTGCATCAGCCAAGAGGCTCTCTGAGCACCTGTGCCACATGCCTTTGCAAATCATGGAAGCCTCCATAGGCGATGTCCATGCCTGAAGTTCATCAAGAATTTAAAGCATTCACACACTATACACCTGGTTCAAGCAAACTCCATGCCATGAATCATGAATCTGATTGCTGACACAGGCACGCTTCTCCATGAACCCTGCTTTCCTTGCACATGTCCAGGCTGAGTTGCTGATGTTGCATGCCTGAGCAGTGAACAATGTTCATCAATGTTCATGTGACTACCTGCATGCCATTGCAAAACAAATACATTTGCATACTTAACTAATTAATGACTCCAAGTTGCATGATCCACAAACTGATGCATCTTCCACAATGCATACAGCATGAAGCAGTACATGCACCCTCCACCCATGCTAATTTCCCTGCATTGCCATGCCCCATGTGGCCAAGGCACTCCCTGATTGATCAACTGATGGTGCTCCATGTCAATCCCCTGGCCTCAGTCATGATAGTTAACAATTGTCAGTGATGAGCAATTGTCAATTTGTCCCCCATGAATTGATTCAAGCTACTGATGATGCCAAATACCACTGCAATGATGGCAACCAGGCATGCCATCACCTTCTTCATGCTCATGGCCATGCTAATGACCTCCAAATACAAACTGATTCCAAGCTCTGATGGTGCAAAAGGCTGCTGATGATTGAATGGCTCATGCACATGCTGGATGCACATGATGCCAAGTGAATCCATGCTCACTGCCCCCATGCCACTCATGACAGCGCATGCACCTTCATGTTTTCCAACTCAATCCTGATGCCAACTGCTAAGAACACTGGGTTGCAGCTACTCATTGCTTACTCATCTTTCTTTTCCTCATCCTTCCCTTCTCCAATTGGCTTCTTTGCCTCATCATCCTTCTTTGGATGCAGCACCTGATGAAGATCTGATCCTAGCAGGGCTTGGCCAGGGCTGAAAGGGAATGGTGCTGGCACCACCAACCCACCACCACCCACCACACACCACCCACCACACACCACCCACCACACACCACCCACCACACACCACCCACCACACACCACCCACCACACACCACCATAACCCTTTTTCTGTCATACACTTGCCATGTCCATTGCACTGAGCCTAACTAATCTACAAACCTGATCTCATGAGGATGCTGAGGGAATGTACAGGATGTTGTGGTTGATGCATCTGAATTTAATCCTGAGCCTGATGGTGCCGAGTCTGATCTGAGCCTGATGATGCAAGTTCTGATGGCACATCTCCAACATGACATTCAAGCTCCTTGATCTCATCACCCACAAAATAGTAGCTGCCTTTTGCTGCATACTCAATCACCCAGCCCCAGATGCACCATGCATCTGAATATGCAGGGTTCTCCAGCTGGACAAACTGATACACACTGCCTGCATAATGCAGGCACCAGTATGTGTCTGCAACATCAATGCCCAAATACTGGCCAATCAGATTAAGCACTTCAACATGATGCCTGATTCTCCTTGTCATGCCCACTAATGCAGTGTACTGGTTGGCCCAATAACGCTGGACTGATGCACCCTCATCAACTGCTGCATTCTCATCCTCCTGCTCTGCAGCCCCCAGCTCTGATCCAGCCTCCTCCTGCCCAGCCTGCTCTGTATCTGCATCATTCTCACTCACTGATGACATGGCTCCAATGCTGGCCGAGCTAAGGCTCACTGAACCCTTGCTGAAATGCCTGCAAACCCATGCCTCCCCTTGTGAATGTCATGCTGAATCCATGCAAACCCTCATGAATGTCCTTCTCAATCCCTCTTGGAATACATGCCTGCCCATGCAAACCCTCATGAATGTCCTTCGCAATCCCTCCTAGAATGCATGCCTGCCCATGCAAACCCTCATGAATGTCCTTCTCAATCCCTCTTGGAATACATCCAGCCCCTGCAAACCCTCATGAATGTCCTTCTCAATCCCTCTTGGAATACATGCCTCAAACCCTCATGAATGTCCTTCTCAATCCCTCCTAGAATGCATGCCAGCCCATGCAAACCCTCATGAATTTCCTTCTCAATCCCTCTTGGAATACATGCCTGCCCATGCAAACCCTCATGAATGTCCTTCTCAATCCCTCTTGGAATACATGCCTGCCCATGCAACCCCTCATGAATGTCCTTCTCAATCCCTCCTAGAATGCATGCCAGCCCATGCAAACCCTCATGAATGTCCTTCTCAATCCCTCTTGAATACATGCCTGCCCATGCAAACCCTCATGAATGTCCTTCTCAATCCCTCTTGAATACATGCCAGCCCATGCAAACCCTCATGAATTTCCTTCTCAATCCCTCTTGGAATACATGCCTGCCCATGCAAACCCTCATGAATGTCCTTCGCAATCCCTCCTGAAATGCATGCCAGCCCCTCATGAATGTCCTTCTCAATCCCTCCTGGAATACATGCCTGCCCACGCAAACCCTCATGAAATGCATGCAAAAGTTCTTGGCTCAATACTACTTTAGAATTGGCCCAATTCTAAACTAGTATTCCCCCAAAGCAAAATAAGAAAAAACAACATGCCCAATACTACTTTTGAATTGGCCCAATTCTAAAGTAGTATTCGAAAACCAAAAAACTGAGCCCAATACTAAACTCCTTTAAACAAGGCCCGACCCTGAAAATTCTCCCCTAATCTTTATTTATGGTCATTCAGGGGGGGGGGGCCCTATTTATTAATCATAGGTCAACATTAGCTCTAGTCAGGCGGTGAGATCAGCACCAGCGCACACAAGTAAGATCATGACGCACCTTTCCCGCGGTTCATGAACGGTCAGCAGCGACACACACACACAAACACAACTGTGAGAGCTCGTGAGCACACCCAGGTTCTTTGGAGCATGGTTCACCTCTTTCACGTCCTTGGGTGCCCACGAAGATGACATAGCCGTTTCCGAAAGAAGGGGGCCAGCGGAATGCTTTGGATTCCATTCCCGCTTTAGGGAACAGCCCAATTGAAAGGTACAGGACTTGGGAACAGACACGATGGTCGGCTAGGGACCCAGACTGATTCAGAGGACTCGGAGCCTGTCTCTCACTTGCCTCTGCAGACTTGGCCACGGCCATACGCGGCCCTGTGATGGATGCGCTGGGAAGAGGCATTGAGCAACCAGGCGAGGGTCGGGTTCATTAGGGTGGGCGCATGTGTCTGTCTGGTTGGTAATCATGGTGTTTGTTGGTTTAAATCAACAAGGCAAACCCTATGTTGTGGGTTGTTTTTTGATGCAAACCAGACCCATCGAAGGGATGTTGTTATTTAATCGGGGGGGGGGGGCGCTCTCACACTTGTGGGGGTGGGTGTGTCACTTTGGACCTAGCTTTTCATTGTTCACCCTGCTTGCACGGCTTGACTTTCACCCAGTAATGCATTCCACACGTGTTGCACACCCACACAAGTGCTCATTTTTTGCTCATGCATGCATTTGCCCAACTACTGCAAGGGGTCGGGGTACCTTGAATCGAAGGACATTCTCTAATACAGGGGCCGTTCTTCGTGGCGAGTGGTGCGACAAGGGTTGTCATCTATTTTTGCTCACTTCGATTCGGCTTGACTGAACGCCGCATGGCCAAATTGGAGGATCGCAAAACACATACGGTATTTGGAGCCAGGGGTGGCCAATCCGTTTCCACAGCCGAGTGATGTGAACAGAGTTTCGGATTGATTGGCTCTAATTACAGGGCGGGCGAAAGTGGCCATGAAGTTCAGAAGAGTGATCTACCACGCAAACACACGTTATGGTTCAAAACATCTCAAGGGTATTCTGCTCTTTGTTCCAATATATCGCGTGTGCCCTTGGTCTGCTGCTTCCTGTGCAGGAGGATGTCAGATCTAGACGCAAAATGCGAAGGGCCGGCGGTTGTGGGCAGAATCTTTTCCGGCTGTCCTTCGCCCGGCAGTTCCGTGAAGCAGGGGCCCGATTCGCTTGATGCACGACTCGCTGCAGTCCAGGGTTTGTCTGACTTTATTTCAGAGATGAGAATTACACGACCTGCAGTTCTGCGGGCTACTGCTGCGTACCACGCCTTCGAGTCGTGCGCGGCACCTCTGAGAGGCGGTGAAGGGAGAGACTTTTTTCCAAAGAGCCGAGAGGTGTCCAAGATCCAAGAATTCTGGAGCCATTCTTGGCACTCGCATCTTTGGGCGAAATGTTTGACGCTCTTGGTGCGGAACAACGGCCTAGCAGCGATTTGTGTGGGCAACGTGTGCGCTTTGTTTGGCATTGTGCTTTTTCATCTTCACGTCCTGCCAGGCTTCGACCGAATGGAAACTGGTCAGCAAAATTCTTCCGTGTGGTCATCAGTGCTAGGTGCCGCTGGCACCGCTTTGACATATGCTGGCCGTCTAGGAAGGAAGTCTTCCTGGACAGGATTTGCAGTGAGACGGATGAGATGAAGACAGAGGCCATTTGCAGCCTTGCCGGGATTCTGGAGTCAGAATCCATGCTGGTGCTTTGGGATGCTTCTTTTGCGGAAAGGTTGTGGTGCGTGTTCGAGATTGCAGCATTCCTCAATAGCCAGCAGACGCGAGAAAGACCCCTTGTCGTTTGCCCAACCCTGACAGGGCCGATCACAATTTCTGTCTATTCAATGGCAACAATGGCGTTTATTCCACTTCTTGTCCTTCCATCTAAGATGCCAAGTGAAATCAAATTTGCGGTGCACATTGCAGCCTTGACAACTGCCGGTGGTGTTGTTGCCTATTCCTGCTGCCACGTCTTGCGCGGCTTCTACCGTTCTGTTGAAGTCATGCAACGGCGTCTGCTGTGCTTACGAGTAGCAGAACTAAAATGCAGCTGCTGCAGTGCGGGCCAATGCATTCCAACTGGTGGAGAGAAATCCTGTGACAGAGAAATCCTTTCCGGAATCATTGCGATATGGTTTGGCAGCACGCAGAACTTTGCAGATTATGTTGGCACCGAAGTCGTGGATGCGATTACGTCGCAGATCGAGCAGGATGCTTTCAGCTATGCTGGGAGTGTTGCTATCGTAAGCCCGGCACAGTGGGCTATGTTCGATCTTATGCAGTTCGAAGTGCGAAGAGACCACCCGCTTTGGGCGTCCTTCACGGTGTGGCTTGCCATGGGGCTTACGATATTTTTGCTTTGTCCTATATTTTTCTCATGGGCCAAGTTCTGTGCTTACCACCTTCGCCATGAATCCAGCTCCAGATGCGGCGAGGTCTTCAAGAGCTTGCTCATGATGGTTTATGTGAGCCCAGTGGTTGTTTTTGGCCTGGGCGCTATCGGGGTGGGCTGGTTCTTCCCCGTCTGGAATTTCAGGTCCATTGTAATTGTGGCCATCCTTCTGCCTGGCTGGGCTTTCATGTGTCTCCTGCGCAGGTGTGGGAATGGCTACTTGGGCAGATTTCTTGTGCAGCAGAGGCTTGTGAGGACCGGTGTGCCTTGCCAAGGCTGAAGCACGCACTGCCCGTGAACTGCTTAAGGCACTCGGGCTTGAATTTGGCCAGCTGTCAGGCTCAGGCAAAAGACACGCCGCTGTCAAGGTTGGTCTTTGCGAAGGGCGCGTGGTTGGAGGGTCCCCAGGGCCAGCTTCCGGTTGTTGATGGCGTTTTTTGGCCTGCAGATTGGCAGTTTTTTGACAAAACTCGAAGTTGGCACACGCCAGGTTTGCCAACTTGCCAAGCCGAGCGTTGGGTGTTCTGGCTAGTTGATATAAGCCGTTTATGGGAAGGTAGCCTAGGCTGAAACAAATGCGCTAAAATGACATCTTGGCAAAAGGAAACAAGCACTAAAACCTGAGCAAGCCCAAATCTTGGATTCTTGAGCCACGCCCACATCATCTCAAAGATGAAGTGAAGATCGTTCAACGGGGTGAAAGGCGACTTCAAACCACTTTGGCTTGGAGTCCCTTGCGGTTTCTCACGAGAACGAGCGAAGCGCAGCCCACGTCGCCTGGGTTTGCCGGCGATGCGATCCGCAGGCGCTGCCGCCGGTGGTGTCCCTCACCTTGGCCCTCAGAGGCGCCAGCTGGCGCCGAGCCCTGCAGCGCCTTGGGCGCTTAGCCGGTCGCTCGGGCGGAGCGGAAACACGGGGTCCAGAGATGTCCAGAGAACAGAGGGGGTGCGGGGCGGGCTTCCAAAGGTTCTGTGGCGTGGGAAGCGGAGTCAGCTAGATGCCGTCCACTCTTGTGACGGTGTTTGGGTGTTTAAGGCAACTCGTTGTAGAGATGTTTCCGAGGTGCTTGCGCCTGGGCCGCCTTGCGCGGATCCGCGCGGACACGGTGCTGCTGGGCGCGTGCGCGGCTGCTTGCGGCAAAGTCCGCTGGCAGGACGGTGGGATGGGCTCGAAGCTCGGCGTTGGGCCTGAGCACAGAGTTAGCCGCTCTAAACTAGCTGATGAAGTCACCAAAGTGTCACTTTCCTTTGGCGAGGTGAGTTGCTTGCACCCTTTCGACGAGTCGAGCCTAGCAAATAGAGTGGTCGTCATCTTGTGAAGTGTGCGGTTGGCATGTTGAACAGACCGGTTTAAAACTGAATTGCATGAATTCAAAACACCATGTAGGGGAAGTTGTTCCATTCAGAGTGCCGCAATCCTTAGCACGGGGCATTGCAGGGGCATGGTGTGGGCCACAGTGTACCCCGTAGTAGAACCTATTCAAGACCGCTCAATTTGGGTCGTGTCTACTTGGGGTAAGTGGGTCCTTGAATGATGTGGTTGCAAGCCTGGCATGGGCCCATGTGCGCATTGTTTGCCTGTGATATGAACTTTACGACTTCTCGCCTTGGAGCCAACCAGCCAGGCCACGCTGGATCTGGTTGCCGGGCTGCCGTCGCACCCGCTGGTGGCTTGCGATGCTTGTGCATGCTTGTGCGTCAGATGTGGTGGTGCTGTTTCTTGATTTTGTTGCATCGCCCAGTCTGAGCTTCAGAAAAAAAAGGCTAAATGTCAAAGGCCTAGCATAGGCTTAAGGCCCGCTTAATTAGGAATCATGTTTTTCATTCTTCGCGTTGCCAACATGCAAGCTGCTTCTTTCTTTCCAATGCCAACGTCAGCGACCCTGTGGCTATGGGTTTGAATTGCACCCTGGTGCAAGCCGGCTTTAGACTTGAGACATTCGGCGTTATCCAAGCGCTGTCTGGCTTTTCTGGAGCCATGTTGATAGCTGTCCTAAACAGACCAGAGACCAGGTTCCCTTTTCGAACATGGCGGCTTATTTTGCGTCCAGCAGTGGATTCGGCTTGTTTTCCTTGTTTCCAATTCTAGGACGCAACCCATCGGGGTAAGCGTGTAAAGAAATGATAAAACAACAAAAAGGCTAGGACACGACATGGTGAGGATGAAAGCGAACGCTAGTGCAGACATACATGATTAGTATCAAACAAGCATGGTTGTGGGCTTAACAAAGGGGTGAGGGTTAGAACAAGCAAGCGAAGGGTGAAGATGAAACGGGTAAAACTGCCAGGGGCTTCAGCCTGGTCCGTTCGGCTCACGGATCTTCCGATCCGAAGGCCTCCAGTGGGGTGGCGCTGAACGTCGCCGCCCAGGCGTCGCCTTGGCAAAGGGCACGCCAGCTGCTAGGCGCGAATGGACCAGCCGGGCAAATGGATGTGACTTCTGAGGGCCTTAGGCGAATGACGCAACTCGCTTGCCCCAAGCCAACTGACAGTTCTATTGTGCACCGTTGGCTTGCCCCTGTTTGGCCTTTGTTTGTTCAAGTGTTCTGTGGCACGTGAAGTTGTGGCGATCTCGCAGGTGCCTCGTGACTATCCCCATGAAGGGAGTCCATGGTTTATGATTACTTGCTATACCGCTCAGATGCTTGTCTGCGCTCGGGCACGCAACAACTACATGTTGGGGTGTGATAGTGACTGGTTCCACCTCAAGAAAACCTGCCGGATGAGAATGGTACCCATTGTCCCCACAAGGCCATGATATGCCACAATCTGTCTTGTTGGGATCTGAAGCGTTTGCTCCCCTCGCGTGTCAGGAGCCTTCGGGTCACACCTGCGTTTGGACGAGGTCTCCATCAGCGCTGCTCGCTTGCGCAAAGTCGCCGGAAGAGGGCGGCGGTCGACGGCGATGGTTTTGTTTGCTTTCCCTTGGAAACATGGCCGCTTTGGCCCCTTCCAATCTTAACACATTTAGATCAACATTATTCCAACAAATGAATCCTTTGCTCAGACAGGCCCCCCCATGTCTGGACACCCCCCTATCCCGAGAGGGTATTGTTGGGCTGTACCCCGTACTTGCAACGAGCTTTGGGTGATTGGGCTTGGATTCACCAAGTGGTCCATCCAGTTTCCCCGCACCAAGATATATCATGCTTGAGGCCCCTCTTGCCCAAACCAACGACTTCTTTTCCCGGTTCTCCCAAGTACGGCCCTTTCCGGAGGTTTTTCAGCCGCACGGGCCATGGGGCAGTCGCAGGCCAGCCTGCGCTCGGGCTGGGCGGACGCCTGCCGCTTGCTGCAGGGTTGCAGGCAGAGTGCCTTGGAAACCAACGTGCCATGGCAGAATGACGTGGGGCACGGGCAGGGAACGCTCTGCCATTTTACAATGTCTGCCCCTTCATGCCTTGTTAACATCAGAAACTCACACTTTTTGCAAGGGAAGGTAGGTGACTCGCACGGAGCCAATGACAGTGAATGATGAGCCTGCGTGATTCAGCTTTGCCGTGGGCAGGTGCCCATTCTGTGCCCAGAACCTAAGATTTTCGGATTGAAAAGGCACGTGCAAGCTCAAGGCAGCGTACTCTTGGCTTCCCAGGATTGACTCAGCCCAAGCAAGCCCAGGGCCAAACAGGTTGCACTACTGGATCTTTTAAACAAGGAAGAGTTAGGCTCAGATTTCATGGTAAATCCACACAACTGGAGTAGACGGACGGATGCACGGCTGGAGGCTGAGGCACACAGCTGGAGGCGGAAGCCAGACGAACGCGCACAGCTGCACTGCACCAAAGTAATGGCAGACACCCAGGTTGCGGACGGGGGGAATCTATGAAGGGTGTGTAAAGGGCACACTTCCAGGTTCGTTATGGTGGGGCTTGTGGGGAAGTGGCCTTTTACCTCCAGAGGCAGTTCCGGCTTAAGGTCGGCCCGGGTGACAAATCAGCCTGGTGGATTGATGGGACCAACTCCCTCCCTTTGTCGACAGCACCCGCTTACGTTGGGGAGGCCACCATAGGCCAACCGAGGTAGTGCTCTGCTCGCTGGCCCTAGACCCGTTGGGCCCCTGGCTTCTCGCCTCCGCCTTGCTCCGCGGCTGGCAAAGCAGCGGCCTGCGCTTGGCAGCGCTCTGAGATCGATTCGACGCAGTCCTGAAATTGGAAGATTTCAGCGCATGTGTGTGTGTGTGTGCGGAGTGGCAGAAAACCCTGCCACCAAAACCTTTTTCTGTTGCAGCAGGGGATGATACCCTGCCGGCAAGGCCTCCAGTGATGAACCTTGCCCAACGAAGCTGCATCACTGGAGGGGATGCAAGGCCTGATCAGCCTTGTGTACCTGCACTCTTGAGTGATTCTGAAAGTCTATTTGGCCCTCTTCTTTCGCTCGCTGTGTGTGCTTCATGTTGAATCTTGTAACGCTTTCGTCACTAGAGGGAAGCCGAGTGCATCGCGAGCCGAAACTTATCTTACTCGAGACTTATCAGTTGTACTCGAGACTCATCAGTTGTACTCGAAAGATTAGCACTCTCCATCTGGAGTTCAAGTGTGTACACCCCATTCGTGGGGAATCCTCGGGTGTACCCATTGTGTGACCCCGGGCCGGCTCTGTCGGAAAATTTGACCTCAACGTGCTTATCATAGAACAGCGGAATTTCACATTTAACCAGGAACGAGGTTTCACTAAAGGGAAGAAAGCCGTCAGATCATAGCGACGTCTCACACGGTCTACTGTTGGCTGCTGGCTTGAACTTGCATGGACTTGCATTTATCGGACTTGTTCCTCTCAAGAGTGTTGAGTTGCGGTGTTGCATTTGTTGTGCCATCATGTCTCGACGTGAAGATCGAGATAGATCTAGGACTCGGCGCAGACGTGATCGGAGTCCGTCCCCTCAAGCTCGCAAAGCACGCCGACGTGAACACAATGACAGCCAGGTCTCGGAGAACATGGATTGGAACAACTTGGTTTCATGGCAACACAACTCCGGCTACAACGCTGCCAACAACTTTCCGATGATCCCTACCAACTTTCAATCGACTCACAATCCCACACAACAATTCCAACACCCAGCGATCAACTACATGATGCCGATCCCTCCAGACCCCACGCCAACCAAGTTCATGCCACCCGTGATGCCACCACCGGTTACTACTTCCCAACCTACACCGTCACCTGGACCTCCTGCGGCTCTACCGGTTCGTCCTCAGAAAGCCTGGCTTACACCCTCGCCTGACTGGACACCTGGAGATGGCATGTTTGATGTCAATCAGCTCTACAACTTCAGCCTGCCCATGACTGTTGCCAACACTCCGCATGGCAACCTTCGCGACATGTCAGGCATGGATATTAGGGACGTACGCCTGGTTCAGGTTATCCACGGGGGCCTCACCAACTGGCTACTCAGGCCGTTTGCACACGGCAGATTCGTGACGTGGGAAGGCTTTCGCACCCGCACCGAGGCCTTACTTTGGAGTACCTGTTCCAAACTACTACGAAGATCACAGTCACTCAACCTGCTCACCCTGGAAAAGGACCTTGCCAACACGCTGGGTCTCAACATCGATGACTTCAATCAGCGCATCAAGGTCCACGACCATTTGGCCAGCTTGGTACTTCAATTTCTTCAGCAACATCACACCTCTCTCGCACCTGCCACCCAGACAGATGACATGGTCAAAAAGTTCAATGATCTAAATCGTGCGCACGAACTTCTCCAAGCTCAGTATTCCGCATCGCTTCGCGCATCGACCTCTCCCACGATGACAAACCAGAAGGATGATGCAGAGTTGGTTACACCGCCACCGGTCAACCACACACCATCCTCGTCACCTGCCAGCTCCCTTCCTACAGCCAGCGCAGCCGCCCTGGATGGCAAGTCGTTTGATAGCGTGGTGCAACCTCGGATCATTCAGTCTCTTCACGGAGTGTCGTCACCGCCGTCCAAACCGGCGGCGTCACAATTGCTCACCATGCACAGCACGCCGGATGAAGTTGTCAAGTACTACACATGGACCAGTGACCAACCTCGCCTTTATCTCAAGCAATCACCCACAACCACCACTTTGGCATCGCTGGTTAAGTGGGCCAATCACCCGTCCCGGCTCAACGGCAACAAGTCATTAGATTCTATGGCGACGCAGCTCCTTCAGGCGCGGCAACGCATGCCGAAAGGCGACGCACCCACTCTCGGGGCGATGGCGGCTTCGTGGGGACTAGAGCCCGGCTATCTTACCAAACTCACTGAGAAGGCATTGAGTCACCTCATCGTGACCGCTCGCCTACTCTGTGGATGAGAAGGCATCATGATGACCTTCGTTCTCTTATGAGCCCGGAGCGGCAACAATGTCACGGATGAGTCCAGGTGAAAATTGTCCGTCAAGTGTCTGCGTTGCACCAGATTGATCTTGTACTTGCTCGTTCTTGCATTGCCTCTTGTGTGATTGTCTGTGATGCTTGTATTCATGTCGCCGCCTTGTGGTAGATTTCATTGGTTGTATCTCACCATGTTGGATGAACTTCGCCGCTGCGGAATCTATGATGATGTTGCACAATGGCAGTCGCTGGACGACCTTCTACACTCGTTGACCATGTTCTCTACGTGCTGGCAGTACTGTTTTCCTGGACTACCACCACCGTCGATTCCAACTGAGGAGTACGAATCCATCACACAATTGCCGTGGCTGGGTCTCATCCTCGAAGTCTTAGTTGTGGTCCGGATAGCCCTTCAGATTCCGAATCACGCTATGTCACACTCTCAGCACACCGTGGCCAACAGGTATGAGCTTCACAGATGTCGGTGCACTGCCTATTTAATGATTAGTTTCTTACAACGTCTCATTTCACAAGATCACGGCTACTTCCCGCCGTTCTTTGAAGTCCTTCACTTCTACAAGACTTCTCTCTTGTGTGAAATCATGCACTCTACTTTTGCTGACACGCGACATCTACGCTCATTGCGGGCGCGATTTCCGGATCTCTGTGACTTCATCCACGATCCAGGTCATCATCGACAACCGTGCGTCTACATCCGACTTTCCCCATGGCACACACCTTACTACGTTGGTACGACTGATCAGGATGTTCTACGACGTGAACACTCACGCAGTCGCAAATTTCTACCACTACTTCGGGGACGTCATGCATTCTTTGAACCCGCGCGGCACTACTGGAAGCGATCCAACACTTACTGGCTCCTTTGTGCTGTTCCAGTTGAGATCAAACTTCCCGTTTCCTCGGTTTGGGTTCAGGAAAGCAAGTGGCAATACCTGCTACGCCCGCATTTGAATGCACCCTGGGCACACAGGCTTTTGCGACAGGTGGGCTTCCGGGAACACCTCGTTGATTTTCGACGTCATTCGTTGTCGTCTCCCACTTCCCTCGGCTTGCACAAGCGGTTTCGACGACGACTACATCCGGATCTTCAACGGCAACTACGTCCCGACATGCTGGATGACATTCAGGCCCATTATTCTATTCTCTATCAACTGGGATCCAATACAGGTGCATCGTTCCAAGTCATGCGTGACCTTCTATCGGCGGCTTTCCCTCCTACTCAGTTTTACTACTTTCTGCGGCTCTCCGTCTTTGTCGACGAGCCCTTCCGATCCAAGGCGCAGAAGCTTCTCGCTCAGGTGTTACGCAAACGACAGCTACAATCACCCACCACTTTGACACAACTACTCCTACCACCTTTACATGTCCGCAATTGGAAAGCTCCACTTGGCACATGGTTACAAAGCTGGATTGCTTCTCATCGTGATTTGTTTCCTTCCCTTTTCCTCCCAACGATCCGGGTGGTGGAGACTCGCAGCGCCACATTGGGCGACAAGATCTACAACTACCGCAAATGGCAGCGCAGATGGACTCCTGAAACATCTTTTCCGTGTTGTTGTTTGGCCATCGAAGATCACCGTGTACACCGAGCACATGGACATGTTGTAGTGGTTGATGAGTTCTCACGCATCAATGCAGACATTGACATGGAAATCATGGCCGCATCAATGAAGGATCAGTACTTTGGTGATGTCGATTTGTTACATCAACGTTTCACCACACTGCTTCGCAAACTTGCTCGTCGTTGGCATGTGCATGGGTCCAGTCTTCTTGTTGACTTGCAGCCGGTTTTGACTCAGTTGGTGAACAATCATCGTGCTAACCTTCAAGACCGTGTTCATTGGTCATTGACATCGTTGCAGCGCACCGTGGCTTCTTTGTCATCATGGGTGGTAATCTCCGCGGATCATTTTCCCTCACGTGCACATGTGATTTGTCCGTCCCTGTTTGCTATATTGATGCGGAAGACCTTTTGCTCGGGAGATGTCTTTCCACTTTGCCGTGAATCTGCAGCATTGTTTCGCTCTGAAGTGGCAACTACGGTATATTTTTTCCCTTCTACGTCAGCGATATGCATGGGGACTTCGACTTCAAGCACCGTTGCCCACAGTTCGCATTTTTCCAAAGCCGACCAAGGACTGGCAGAAAGCATGACCCATCATCTCGTTCTTTCGCACGTGGGCAGTTCTCTTCCTCACGGTCTTCGGCGCCTTCATATTTGAATTCACCAAAGCTACTTTTCCTGACATTGCAGGTCAACTTTCAGTACAAGAACTCGTCCAGCAGCTGTGGGAGTCGCTGTCACAGGCAGATCCCGATGAGTACATTCACCTGGTGTTAACATGTCGGATAAATTGACGCGGTTGTGCTTGCTTTGCATGCGATTCCATGTTGGGTTGTCTTGCTTGGTGTTGTGTGTCCCGCCTTCAGCTGTTTGCCGATCTCATTTGACCCTGAGCGGTTTGCTTGGTTGATATGTTCAATTGTACAATGTATGGCGCAGCACGGTGGGTCCTACTTCGCTACTTTGACTACGACATCGTCAATGGCCCCGCGAATACGAGAGTGGAGTGGATTCGGATCTGTGTTCCCGGTCCGTGGCATCCAGTCGCCGAGAACATTTTGGGACCAGCCCCGGATGACACAACCACCTATCGGGAATGGCGTAAGGTTTTCCACTTCCAGGTGTATTGGCCGAGGGATAGCACAGGCGGCACCAATACCGGTGCTGTTTTGCAGCCGGTGTCTTATGCATTTTTTATATTTGGCATTATAGAGATTGGGTCACCAGGGGATACCAACGGCTGGGTCGCCCACATCTTAGCATTGCGCGGCCAGTTTTCGTTTCGGGCGCACCGGACCTCATGTACGCTGGTTTGACCTCTTCATCGGCATCCTCCAATTCGGATAGTGGCTGGTGTTCGTTTTCGCAGTCCTGGGGAGTCTGTTCAGTTCAATTAAATGCGGGAGATTGACTTCGATTTCGGAGCCGTGCATTGCTGCAAAAGTGATTTCTTGTGCTGTGGCAGTTGTGTTTCTTTCAGCAATTGTTGTCTGAAGCCGTGCACATATCAAGTTGTCTTTCCGGGTTTGCGGTGTCATGGCATGGCTGGAATGGTGTCCGGATCCTCAACAACCAGATGCCCAGTGGGTCAAGATCTTTCATCCGGGATCATGGACTCCACATGAAGAACGTGCTGCTCCACCTCCTCCGCACACGTATCGAGAGTGGAAGGAGTTCTATGCTCCCAACCAGGACTCGGTCGGTGGGCAGGTCCAAGTCACCACGTGGTACAAACGAGACTGGGCCACAGAGGGCTATCGGAGAGTCGCTGCCCCTCACGCTGGTCATGAATTTGATTCCATGTATTTTCCTGACCATCACAGCGTGGCCACGCAGTCTGCGGCATTGAGTATGTCACCGGAGCTGTTAGACGCGATTCTCAGGTCCTCGGATGCGGCTGATTTCTCTACTGAAGAACTGACTCGTCTCCAGGAGGGGATTTCTCAACAACAGACAGCTCGCGCACGTCAAGCTTCCCAACCTCATCAACCAGTACGTGCATCGCGTGGAAACACACCATCGGAGACGATTGGGGTCTCCGAGCCCTACCGGCCCGTGAATCCTTCCGACAGCGGCAGGGACAAGGCGAGTCCCATCTTCGAGCTGACTGAGGACTAGACTCGCATGAGTGGCGCAGCGTACAAAATAAGGGTGGTCTCTACACTTGCATGATCTTGCTTGGTTGTTGTTTGAACATGGTTGTGCATGGTGCCTGTTCCTCTACTAGCTGGATCGGAGCCCGCGACAATCCTTGTCTCTCACTTCGACATGGACATCGATGATTCGAAGCAGCGCCCATGGCTCGAATATTCGGTCTGGCAGGATCAGGAGTGGGTGCGGGTATACACTCCAGGACAGCCTCAACGATGGCACCGCGGTGACGCCGTACCTGATCTACCTGAAAATTCTTTTCGGGAATGGCAGCGGGTGACTGATCCCAATGAGCCGGTCCAGGCATGGGACATCCGTGACTGGCAACATCAAGGGTACCAGCGCATTCTGTCTCGGATTGAGTCCTTCGCAACTCATTATCCGCATGATCAATCTTGGTCAAGTTCGGAACTCCGATGCCGTTCCAGTTGAGGAGACGTTCACCTACGCCACTCCGTTTTCTCATGGTGATCGCCAGGCTGCTTCGCAAATCGCTTCAGTCCTCTATGGCGACACTCGCAACGCTCAACATGGTGATCTCTCGTTCCCGTCTTCTGAGCGGTTTAGGGCTGTGTCTCGCTCCCCTCGCCGTGGTGGATATTTTGGTCAACGATAGAGATTCGAGTTGGAGCATGTGATTTTTCTGTAGGAAAAGAGAAACCTCGCCCCTCGTAGAGGGGCGTGTGTGTGCGGAGTGGCAGAAAACCCTGCCACCAAAACCTTTTTCTGTTGCAGCAGGGGATGATACCCTGCCGGCAAGGCCTCCAGTGATGAACCTTGCCCAACGAAGCTGCATCACTGGAGGGGATGCAAGGCCTGATCAGCCTTGTGTACCTGCACTCTTGAGTGATTCTGAAAGTCTATTTGGCCCTCTTCTTTCGCTCGCTGTGTGTGCTTCATGTTGAATCTTGTAACGCTTTCGTCACTAGAGGGAAGCCGAGTGCATCGCGAGCCGAAACTTATCTTACTCGAGACTTATCAGTTGTACTCGAGACTCATCAGTTGTACTCGAAAGATTAGCACTCTCCATCTGGAGTTCAAGTGTGTGTTGTTCATGGGGCTCCTGTCTAAGTATACGTCTTTGCCACAAAAGGGGGGGGTCAGGCCAAAGCCAACCAGGGCTTTGGAAATTCGCAGTGCCCAGAAAACCTCAGTGGTGAACCGGAAAGACACCTAGGTTGCAACGTATTGGTGGTTTCCAAGCAAACTTCACACTCCCGGTGAGTTCCAGCATTTTCCAACGATTCATTGCCACTCGAGGCCCCCACTGAACTGTCATTCAGGAGAACGGCTTAAAGCCACGCAGGGACAGGGAGGTCTACTTTGAGGGACGCCCATGTGACATCAGCTGCCAATTGCTTGACGGTCACGCAGGCGGAATCAGCCGCGTGCCATGAATTTGGCCAAAGCTATCCGGATTTGGTTGCCCTTGTGCCAATTACGACGATGCCACCGTGAGAAGAAGCCCCTGCTTGCTTCTGGCCACAAAAGAGTATTCAGGATGGCTGTCACCTGTGTATGTCTCCGGATTCCGTAAAGTGAGAGTTTCTGGGGTTTCCCTTTAAACCACTAGGTATTAATATTTGGTGTCACTATTGCCGAGTGGACGCGAAGCAAGATTCGCCGCGGCGCCACCAGCCTGGAAAGTGTATTTCATGAGGGCGTCTTACATCAGGAGCAAAGGCTCACTTCATCAAGCAGCCTAGGATTCGTCACTTCCGACCCACCCAAGCGGGCCACTTCGGTTTGCTTCTGAAGGGTGCTATAAACCCAGTACGGGTTCCAATTTTCGAGGATTTGGTGGCCTATGGGGGCGCCATCTCTGCCGTGGGCGCGGCGTGGAAGGAGATTGACTGGTTGTGCCAGTTCAAGATGCTTCGTTGCAAAGCCTCCGTCACTGCCTCGGGCTGCGCAACTCCCCCACTGCACGAGGTAGAGGAAGCCACTGGTGGATGAATTTCGGGGGGGGGTATGGCTGCATCCACCTCCGCTGCATCTCACATCCCTTGAAGAACCCTGTAAGAACATGTAGACAGAATTTCACATGGAATTGGGGGAGCCAGCTGTTTGGACAAATGCAGTGGCTGTGGAATCCTCTTTCAGTTCGGCGAACTTCTTCTCAGCAAGGATTCGGCACAAGGCCCTTCGAAATCCTGAAAGTCCTCACATGCTTGTTGGCCTCTCAACAAAGAAGACATCTCTCTTTGTTGTGCAGGATGCTTTTTGTCTTCAATGCAAATCCATCAGCTGCCCTCGGTGACTTTGCTAGACTCCTCCTGAAAGGTCTCTGCGCTTATCGCGCACCTTAGACTTATGAACATTCGATAAGTTGTTTTTTTGCTGGGGGGGTGCACTGGTACACATCATATGGTTCAGTTTCCTTCATTTTGCTATTCGCATGGCGTGGCTCAAGACAGAACGGAAGGGTTACACAACGAGCTACTAGTTGATTATTGCCACACCGACAACATGCTTGTGTACAGCTGGATTGCAGGGCCAGGTTCTATGGGAACAAAGCAAGGTTCTGTGAAGCGCTGCATTTGTGATAGAATGCACTGCCTGCACCTCAGGGATCCGAGAACTAGCCCAAGGGCACGAAACCGGTTTTCAGATCCTTTTTTTCGGTGCCGAGTGAGAAAAGGCTGATCTTGTCTTTTTGTGGCTGGCGGAACGCCCAAACATTGGTGAACCCCTGGTTCTTGGTTCTTGTAGAGGATAAACAGGAAACCATCCCTTAACCAGCAGGTCTCCAAACCACCAGCTGGAGAACCTGGTTCACCCCGTCAGGAGGCTTGGGCCTTGCTTCACCTCCTCCGGCCGCGGACGCTGGCACCCAACGCCATTTGCACCACGGCGGCGCTGTCCGGCGCCGGCGGATGGCCCTGGGCGGCTGAGATGTTGCAGGCGCCCTGTGACGGCTGGAATTGGACGCGTCCGCAAGGCCATTCGTAGCTGAAACCCGGGCTGCTTGAAATGGACAACGGGCGGTGGGTTGACCCAGAATGATAGTCATAGATCTAGTTTCTAGGGGGGTTATATGACCATCCACGTGGTGCAGGATAAATTTATTAGGCCAAGACAGCGAACAGATGGTGCTCATTCTCAGCTTTCGCTTTTCTTGCCGGGTCTTCAATCTGGCGGGAGGGGGGATACGCAGAACGAATTAGCGGTGTTTTTGCCAAGCCTTGTGGGTGCCTTCAAAGTAGTATAAGCTGGAAGGCTGCCGGAAAAGGCGATTTATTCATACATGAAAACGTGAGTGGAGGTCGTCGAAGTGATGCTCCTCACAAGGCGGAAAGGCGGCCACAAGGTGACACCGAAACAAAAGGGCTCTCCATGCGTCTCCATGCCCAGACACAGCTTGTAGAAGGTGCTGGCGACCAGTTGCTGAAGGGCCGCCTTTGGACCTGAACGGTCGCTGCATCCAATGCCGCCCTTGACTTTGCACAAGATGCCCTTTCAAGCTCAAAGGGCACCCTGCAATTGAAAGGGTGATGCCATCAAAGCCGAAACACGTTGACATTTTTGAATTGAATATGATGGAAGGGTCGGCCCAACCCTGCTCTGGCTACCCTGTGCGGTGTCTCCTTTGTTCCTTCATTGACACTTTACATATGGTGGTCCTGGAGCATGCGAAGGTCGGCGTACTGTTGTGGATGACCTTTGATTTTGGCCAGTCATGCCAGTCTTTGGCTACAACGAGTTTCTGCAGCTAGCCAAGGTCTGTGTTGGCTGGGAGGAGCCACATCGAACGCTTCGGACCACTGGCAGCCACAGTATTTAAGCCAGCCACACCGCAAAAGCGCAACTAAGACTGCAGTTGCCTGAATCCAAGGCAGGGCGGATTTGAGCAATTGCAAGAATAAGGAGAAACGCATGGACCCAACACCAGCGACAACAGATCCGGGCAACACGAGCAGGACTTGGGTCCTTGCTTCATCCTTCAATTCGCAGGGTGTCGCAGGTTTTGTTTTTGGTAAGACACCAACTGCCAGGCTCTCAAGTAGCTTCCGTTCCTTCCAGGCCATGGGCCGCTGGTCCCTGCGCTTGGACCCTGCAGCCTTCGCTGCAGCGGGCGGCGGTTCCACCTGGGCGGCGCCTTTGGGACCCGTGCAAGCGGGGAGGGGGGGGGGGGCGGGAAGGGGGGGGGTAGGCCTTTGCGTGGGGGCATGTGGGGGCTACTCAGGCCCTTGGCCTGGTTGCTGACACCAATTCTTTCAGAGGTGCTTGGCTTTCTCCAGCGATGAGTGATTTAGAATCACAGCTTCCCCCGTCAAGGGAGCAATCTAAGAGCATGTTTGTTTGCGAAGGGAACAGTCAGATGTGACTTGAAGCAGGACTCTTGACGGAGCTGGGGCAGCGGTCGCTGGCTAGCAGCCTTGCCAATGTCAACCTGGCGCTCACGAGTTTCCGAACCGCCTGGCCCAGGCGGATTTGTATGGCAGACTGGAAAGGTGGCCCTTTAAGCCTTTGCCAGTAGTGCCCTTGACTCCCCTTTTTTGGGGGGAGGGTTCCCCTACTCAAATAGACTACAGAGGAAAAAGGTATCCTTATTCTAATCTCTCTTCTGGAGGACCTAGCCTTTCTTTATGACAAGACAGAGGAAGGCTTGGTGCACGAACCCTTGTTCCCTTAGTGCACGAGCTGCTTTTTTTTGCAGATGGTGTCCCTGTAGAGATGCAGCTCACGTATAAGTTGCACGTAGCCACGAGGTGGTTATGAGTCCAAACAATTGCACCCGCAATTCAGGCCTTTCTTCCACACACAGTTTTCCCAAGGTACTCCAAATGTATACAACTTGCGAACTCATTGTCAGTTACTCAGTTGGCTGCCTCATTTTAAAGGGAGTTAGTATGTTTGGAGCACGTCAAGCTCTCCACCTTGCATGCGACACATCGCACGGCCCAGTTGCCTGGCGCTCGCCCAGTCCCGGCAACTCGGCGAGCTGGACGAGGTGAGTCGGGGTGCGCTGGCTGCTGCGCTGGCAACAGGCGGGGGTTGCCCTCTTTTTCTGTTTTGCTGGGACCTCGTTTGACACTTTCGGTTGTATTTCAGGTTGCGGCAAGTGTTTGGAGTCAGAAGGAAGCCAAAAGTGGGCCAAGCATTTTTGAGAGTCTCCATATTACGAGACAAACCCAAGTCTGCTCGTATTGCTCATTATTGCCCCAAATGCGACAGAGGTCAGGGAAAAGGGAATATGTGTTTCTCAAATACTGGTTTAGAGCCACAAGCAGTGGAAGTCATGTCCCCCAAGCTGTGCCCTCGTCACAAACAAGGCTGATGTGCTTCCATTGCGACCCTGATGTCTCTTGGACCTATGGGCCTTGATGCCAGTCTCTTACCTTGTGCCAGCGGAAGAACGAAGAACCGAACTCGAACACGGATGAAGCCAGCAAACGGGGTTGTCACCAGGCTACGACTGGGTCAAGGCACTCTGGCTTTTGCCGCTTGGCAGCTTTTGCGGCTTTGCTGGGAGTCTTGAATGGATGCAGCTTTTTGGCAGTGACCCTCCCACAGTCGCTGACCCGCATTAGAACATCCTTCTTCAACTGCAGGTCCTTGGCTTTGCTGGTGCCTATCTAGGTCCATTCGAGGTCCTAGAGAGACGGGTCAGAATCGACAATTGTGGCTGCCAACGGGTTCGGGAAAAGCGTGTGAGTGTGACAACTGCGAGTACTTCTGGTTTGCGGAGGATTCATAAACCCCTGATTGATTAAAAAGTTAGCATTCGAGGGGTGCGCCTATTTTGCCGGGGTCGACATCAAAATGATTGCTCTTGACTGAGTAAGCCGATAAACGAGCAGATAGTCAGTCAGTGGCTCCCAAGGTTCCCAAGGTCAGTGGCTCCTTTGGATGACAACCCCTTGGCAAGCGTTAGACTGTTGGGGGTGCAAAATAAGTAGTGAGCCCCTCTTTCCCATTTCTGCATCCAAGAGGATTCCGTCCTGACCACGCATGTGTGTTCGCAGCTCTGTGCGTGTGAGAGTGTTGGTAGATGGGCGGGCATACATGTTGTGGGAAGCGGAAGCAGTCCGCCTTTCAAGCGGCGCGAACCCTGAAGAACTCACCCAGGTGCCAATCAACCTGGTTGATGGCCCTTTTGAGAGCACAACGCTGCTTCGATCAGCTTGTTAGCTGCTCGCAAGTCTAGCGCCCAAGAGTCCGAACCGATCTTCGCTTGAAGAAAATCAAGATGGTTTAGGCTCTTTTGCATGGATCAGCATGGGAGGGGGAGCGGCGACGTTTATGATGGGAATGGGTTGCTCGCGCGCGCTACAGCAACTATTCGTGTTTCGTTTCTGATCAGGCCAGGGCTGTGACTATGACTCCCTATGGAATGAGGCCCCGTGAATGAAGCATGCCCAAGTGAAAGTCCCAGATGCAATTGTTCAGTGCGGCCACCTTACCGGACAAAAGGCAAGAACTCCCATGTTTGAATGGCGCATGAGTTTGTGCGAAGTAAGAGACTTTGCAATCGTGACCTCGCTACATGCTGCAGTTTCTTCTGTCTTGGGAGCCCCGATTGGTGTAGCAAATTCCTTGCATTACCTTGATATGTGAAGCGCCTGTCGCGCGCTGCGAGGCGAAGCCCACCGAGGAGCTCGCCGAGCGCGACGGAAGCAACCACCAACGCCGCGCTGTCCGCGCTGGCGCGGGCGCAACGCTGGCGCCGGGCCGTGCAGGCCGAAGTCCGAAGCGATGGGACGCGCCCGGCGATGCCTTTGTCTGGACAGACCTCCCGATAGGCTAGTTATGTTGTCCCTCCAACCGAACCCCCTGTTTATCACCCCAACAAGCCCACTCATTGCCAGCCTATTCGTTTCGATGCGACCAACTGCAAGGCCTGCCGAGGCTGATTCGTGGTGATTTCAGTTCATTTGGTTGCCATGGCTGGCAACCAGTAAGACGGCATGTTGGCGTAAAAGGGCTGGAGTTTCGGCTGCAAAGGCTTTACATCACGGAACCGCTTGGACATGATGATCGAATGAACTGTGGGTTTAGGGGCTGCTTTGAGACATTTTGCTGCAGTTGAGCGGGCCGTTGTCCAATCTCTTGCCATTAGGAAATCAGTTCGTGTCATATTTCCCTCCTCCAGTTCCCTGAGCCCTCGCAGGTTCTGGCAGGAGGGCATGCACTGGCCACTTGGACGGAAATCGGGAGCTGCGGATGAATTCATATCCTCCAGGGCTATGTTTGGGCGCTAAACAATCTGACCCAGTGTTGGTCTATTTTTAAGGGACACCACAAAAAGAGTGATGTCTAGCTCCTTGGCACTGCCCCTACTGTCACAAGGACGCCTTCGGGCCAGCTGGGAGGTGTGTTGTTTGGGGCGCTGACGGATGACTTGTTTGGCATTTTGTTTACTTCTACTTTCCCGCGCCTGGTGTACCTCAGCAAGCACTTTGCCCTTCATGGCTAACAGAAGCAAACGTTGAAATCATACCAACAACGGTGAAGTCTAACAATGTTGGCCCCCGAAATGTCAACCTGACGTAGAACTAGGCTTTGCCTGTTAAGCGAACCTCTGAGGACATCATAGAGTTTCGGCGCTTGCAGGCCCCATGCAAGTGCCGCCTTTCACCTGGGTTGCCTGGTTGCCCAAATGACATGAGGAGACGTATCTAATATACCCCCTTTGGCAAGGACAATGAACGCACCCGCACACGTTATACCCTTTGCATGATTCCTTAAGAACGATGGCAATAATCAACATGAGTTAATTTGTCTTTGGACGGCCTTATAGATTCTAGTTTTTCAGACAAGCTTACTTCTGAACCTGGAGTGCGAGGAGTGGACCGGTTCCAAGAGCCCCCGGTACCTTCATGATTCATATGTTACCCTCCTACGAAACCTTCCTAGGAAGTTCGTGCATGCTGAAAAGGAATGTTCGAGGGTTTGTTGGGCTTCGCCTGGGGAATTGGGCCAGGCTGGTGTCCCTTTTGCATTTCCCTTTTGCGCAGACTCGAAAGATGGAACTGCGGGACCAACCGCCCGTCCCCCTTGACAGCGAGCGGGCGGCCGGAGGACGGGGTGGGCTTTGACATGGGCGTGGCGGCCTGCCAGAACTGGCTGCAGAGCTTGCAGCTCGGAGGATGGTGCTTCGGATTGTTTTTTCTTTTGGCACGACGCCTGTGTTGCTTTTGCTTGCGGTTTGCTTTGGTTGCCTTGAATAGCCGGCAGCTTTGTTTGCTTGACTTGGTTTGTGTGGCACATGTCCTGTCTCTTTGGGTAACGCCCACGCGGGACAGAAGGAACCCTGTGGTTTTTGAGAGACCACCTTGGATCCGGAAAAGAGTCATGGAGATGCTCCAGCCGCCATCAAATCGGTCTGTCCAGACATCAGGGGAGGCAGGCTTAGGTGATCTCTGGGCGACTGGGCCCCCAGAAGCAGGCTGATTGGTGGGAGGGGGCATGGGCCATAGAATCTGGAAGGGTTTTTGCAAACAGAGGCCCCCCTGTCCACCTTTAGGTTTTGTTTAGGTGAGATTTCAGGATCAGAAGTTTTGAGGAGGCTGGACATTGCAATTTTATGCCTAAGGAGCACAAGGAGAATCTCGGTTTGTTTCTTTCTGGGAGGTGCCAGCTGTTGCACTCGAGGCAGCTGCTGGACTGGACGGGCCTCAGCCGCTTCGCGCCGTGCACAGAGGCCCTGAGCAGCGCGCAGCTGGGCCGAGAATTGGGTCCTAGGCTTCGAGAGTCGCGTGCTTCAGGTCTACATCCAGTTAGCTGAGACTAACCCCCAAAAAGACTGCCTCGTTTTCGAAGGAACTTGCGGATGGAACCCTGAACCTTCGAGTCCCTGAGAGGACGCAACCCAACCTTTGCGTCAGCCAGGGCGCAACCCAACCTGAGAGGAGGATTCTGGAAGGCCGCACGCTAAACAGTGCTTGTTTGAGTTGATCCACTGGCTTGACCGTGGTTTTTTCAAACCAGCGGACACCCAGTTTCCTGATTAAGAGGATATGGCACAAGACGGCCCTGACGATTTCGGGTGCCTGGTGTTTCCGGATTGTACCCAGTGGGCTGGCAACTTAACACGTTTCTTCGCGTGCGAAAGTCGCAAGCCAAGGCTCGGGGCATGCGCGCGGGAGGTGGCCTGGCGGCAGGCTGGAGCGGTATCTCTGATTGTTTGCTAGGGTTTCCACACGTTTCCTGCAAATCTCCCACTACACTCCCACGGGTTGCCCACATGTTCGGGAAATGCAGAGGCGGTCAAGTACATGTCCAAGGCAATTTGTAGGGGCCCGTTGGCCCATAAAGCCACAAATATGTTAGCTACCCGAAGGAATGTGTGCATGTACCCGTAAGGGTGTGCTAGTGTATGTAAGCTATATAGCAGTGGCATGGCCATGGGTCCAAACAAGAACGAGCTCAACACGGCCGGTTGATATGCCAATTGGGCAGCTTTTTGGGGCGCCCCTGGGTGCACGTTACCCCTTCCACAGGCCTTGCGTCTGGCACTAGAGCTGCCACACGCAGATGCCGCAGCCCTGGAGCGACTGGCGCAGGCATGGGCATTTTTTAGAGGAAGAAAGTCAGGTATGGTGGCTATGGTGTGGAAATTGGATCGCCGGGCTTTGGGAAGCTCCAAGAACTTATGGAGTAAGGTGATGCTCTGTGAATTGATGTTTGTGCGGAAGCGCGGTATCCTTGACCGGCATATGTAGGGGATCGAATCTTCTCTTTGCAGATCGAAGCCCATGGCCATGGGCTTAATGTCTTCATACCTTCAGTTTTCAGCGTTTGAACCAAGTTCCAAGATGGAAAGCATGTGAGGGCCCGACAAATTGGGCCGGTTTCGGAACCCCTGCTGAGTTGTGACGTTTTTATTTTTATTTGTTTTATGTTTAAGGGAAGTACTTTCCCAGCAGGAAAACCGCCAGGGCAGAGCTTGATCCTTCAAGCCCCGGGCCCGCAAGTGTGAACATCGACGCGGCCCCTTGGGCACAACCCGACAGGCGTGCCAAGCTTCAGCGCAGCTGCCGCGCGCCCCTGGGCCAGGGGAGGCAAACTAGGCCAAGGTGAGCCCAAAAAGGGGGGGGGGGTAAAACAGAGAACCCCTCCCCCAAAAGATGGCTTCAGCGGCCACATGACATGTTGCATTCTCTATGGAGCTTGGTGCTCAAGAAGCCAATGGAGCTGGTAGGGAATCAACACACATACCCGTCATTCCCACAGAGCTCGCGCTACAGGGCCTGATGTCAAGGGCTTGGCCTCCGGTGCACATGCGGGTGTGGAAACAATCAACCACTTGGGGGTCAAGGCAAATCCATAGCCCGCCTCAACCCATCTGAGGTCTTGGCCCGCGCCGACGCTGCAAGTCTGCGGGCGCTGGGGACAAACATGCGTCCTTGGCTTCCGGAACCGCGTTGTGCGATTGGGGGCTTGACTGCTGGTGCTGTATTTCCAAATCAAGAAAAACAAGTACAAAAGCATCAAGCCGGGTCTAAGTCCAAGAGGATGTCCTTGGATAGGCCTTTTAGAAGGGATTGTGCGTCGCCTTTTGGTTGGCATTTAAAGATCCATATTCCAATCCTCGCATGATGAAGATTCCTGTCATACAGGGTACGCATATATTAATTACGTTGTATTAAACATATTCAATATTTATTCTAACAGATCAAACTGACCAGACAACTTAGACAAATAGGGCCCGTTGCTTGAATTATTCCAATTGCTCGAACACAAGGATTATGCAGAATAACGATTCGTAGGACAAATTGGCAACAATTAACCTTGGACGTCTGGGAACCTAGAGAGAACAATGATTTGCATGGCGTAGAGAGCCAGTGAGCCCAAACATGCTTGATGTCAAAATGGCAAGCACCGCATTCACTGATTCTTTTGAAAGTTTGTACTCGCAAATGCCAAAGGGGAAGGCAATGCAAATAGGTTGACCGCAAGGGGTAGGACGTTAGCACTGGGCCATTCGGTTGGAGGGCTTCAGCCAACGGAGCCGACCCTGCCAGGTGTGCAGCATTGAGGTCGGGCTCGGATGTGCAGATGACGCGCTGAGTAAGAAAAGCTGTGCCGGAACAGGACGATGAATTGGTAGCTTATCTGGACTTCAGCTCGCCTTCGACGGCTAACGCGCTAGGCTAACCATGCCCAACACTCGCCGCTCTTGACGCGAACTCCTCCAAGGTCTTCTCGAAGTAGGCACTAGTAGGCACAGAGAGGGTTTAGCCAGATTGCACAGCTAAACAAGTAGTTGTTTCTTATACCCTTCGGGCTTTGGGCAGGCAGGCCAAGCAGAAAACGCTGAGTTCGGGGGCCCCTCAACTCAAGCTATCATTCGGGTTCTGAGGCTTTCACGTGCCAACCCCTTTCTGGGGTTTTGTGTCTTTTGAGCAAAGGAGCGCAGTGGGCCGGAATGTTCGTTTACAGTTGGTGAGCTTGCCCAGCGTGAGGGTTGTGTGTTCTTATCCTTTCAGGCTTTGGGCATGAGTTGTAGACGTGTCATTTTGCAAGTAGATCGCTTGGAGAACGGCACATGCCCAACAGTTGTCCCGTCAGGCTTTCATTTTTTTGGATCGCGCGCCTTGTGCTGCAAGGGATTCATGTATTCCTCACCGAGGTTCCACCGCCCCGAGTGGCTCAAGCAAAACGCACCAAGAAGACTGCCTCACTACATAGTAAAACTATTGAATCTCGCGTTTGATTATAGAACTTGCCAAGTTGCCCTTGGTCACTTGCCCAGAAAGGCAATGCAAGCACAGAACTCTGGATCAAACATTGGCCTCAGATGCAGCCATGCACATGCCTGACAAAAGAACCCTTTGCAACATGCCAATCCATTCTTTGCACCTGTTTTCCATCAACGGGGGCTTTATTTAACTTAGCTCGAAACTCGCACCAGACCCGCATTGTGATCTTCCGGGCCGGCACTGGCCCCACCCTCGGATTTGTTAGCCCATGGTGCGGCTGCTGCCTCGGCTTCTGCTGGCGCTTGTCGCGGCAGCGCTGCTGTGGCAGAGACGAGGCGAGAGCATCTTTCTAGAAGCCAAGGAGCCAAGAGGGCTGAATGAGGCTGTGTCCATACCGAGTTGGGCCTGCGATTGCTTCAAACCGAAGGGAAGTTAGGTGCTTCGGAGGGGTCCCGGACGAGCTCATGTTGACGTGCAAACCGTGTGAAGCCTTTTCCTCAACATGAGCACTTGGCCTTGAAACACTGTAAAGAAGCAAGGGGGGGAGGGGGGGTTGGGTCCTGTGATGTGAATTCAAGCACCCACGAACCACCCCCTACAAGATCGATTCTCCGGCTGAAGGGGAGTTTAGTCCCATGTGCGTCAGTCTCCAATTCGTGAACCCCTTGGACATGTGCAACCGCGGAGAACCGCCTATCCTCTTCAGTCAATGTCGGGCCCCCAACAGGTATGCTTCCAACCTGTTTGCGGCTTGCCCGGGCCATCCCGGGCCAACACGCCCAGGCTCCAACACTGCCGCGGTTTTCACGGACCGCCTGGTGAACCTCAGCAGCGTGGAGAAGGATGCCGAGCTCCAGGCGTGCTCGGCACGGGAACCTTCGGGGGGCTCGGACGCGCACGAGCCTTCCCTTTTTTGGGTTGGACGTCCTTGGGTTGTACCATTATGTTTGGCCTAAACATATGTTTTCTATCATGGGCCAATGTTGGCCATGTTTTTGTTGTGGTTGAACCTATTGAACCTTTTGTTGGGGTGCTTTCGTTTTTTGGCCACGTCCGAGTTAGTTTGGAATTGCCCTGCATTCATTTGTTCGCTTTCGGTTGCACATGAAACAGTCCTTGTTTGAACCATAAACAGTTATCCCGAAGAATTTGGCCAGTGACCCACTTGTTGATTGCCCCTGTCTACAGCTTTTCCTCATCTCATAGACGCCAGCTGCAGCCTGACTTTTCAGTTGGTTCCCCTAGTTTGGGAGCCGATTGTGACACTGACCCCACGGTTGTAGGAAGCCCCTAAGTGGCACAGCAGCCATAGGGATACCTTGGTAGAGGGTAGTTTTCTACATGCGTGCGCCACAGGACTCGTACCGCAAACTAGCTAAAGGTCCACCAAAAGCAATGGGCTTTTTCCGAAGTGGTTCCTGCTAACTATGGGCTTTGGAACGCCCCAAGTACTGCCAAGGTTTTGGAAACTGCGGTAGGCGTCTCCAAAGCCACGCAGTCCAATTACGCACTCCGTATGAGAAGGCTATGTCTTCCAGGGGTAGAGGTCCAGACCGACTGTTCATGTGCTCTGTTCTAGATATCTACCTGCCCATGCCCTGGGGGCTGTTTCGCTTTACTTGAGCTCTTCATGTTCTGCTGGCGGCGCAGAACCAGCAGACAAAAAGTAGAGCTTATGATTTGAACGTCTTGCGGCAGTTACATTGCTACCGGGGCTGCTTCGCGCGACTAATTTCAACGTGTCCCAACCCCCCTCAGATAAAGTATGGTTTGCGGGCCCCTTGAGTTGTTGAATGTAGAGATTTTGGACGGGGCCACTGTTTCCGCGCGTTCACTGCACAGCAACCTTTTGGGGTTTCTTTGAAGGGAAGACAAAGGGAATCCACCTGTCACTGCCATTGCAGGCAAGGAAGCTGACAGAGGATGATGTCCTTGTTCTCGAGGCGCACACTTTGCATCGCACTTGAGTCATCGCTCAGAAACCGAGAATGCGGAAGGCACTGGGATTGGCAAGAAGACGCCTCCTTTGGGACTCCTTGTGGTCGGGGAATCCCTTGTCAACTCCTTTTTGTGTGTATGCGTGCGCGTGCCAAAGTGAGTCAGCTCTGAATGGAACGTGCGCAGGGTGAGTTCACCCCCCAGCCGAAAAGTGCCGACATGCACTCACCATGTCCAGCACCCGTATTAACTTCCAAGACCCTACGTATGCTAAGCATTGCCTTTCGATTTCCGCGCAAATTAACAAAGAATTCTTGTCTTCTGAAGGGGCGGGTTTAAGACTGACCCGGTATCATGAAAGCTGTTGGAGTTGTTAGTCGAAAGGAACTTGGCAAATGTCTTCCTTGTTTTTTGTTCCCAACTTCCTAGGGCTTCAAGAACCTGCAAAACAAGTACCCTGACTAAAGCATTGTGTTTTCTCGTTCTGCTGAAAACATATCTTTTTCCGAAGAAGAATACATTGTGTTTGTGACAGAACCCTTAAACATGGGCTTTTGAGGCCAAGCACTCATTTGGAGCAAAGGGTCAAAGGCAAGTGTCGGAGTGTAGCTGCCATTATCGCCAGCCCAAACTATCCAGAGGCTAAATTTGCAATGGCAGAAACAAAGCTGAATCCTTGAAAGCCTACTGGGTGAAATCGATCCCCACAAGAATTAGCTCCCGCACAGGTTGTTCTTGCGGGGAATGGCCCCTTAGGTGCACCACGCTGCCGTACCTTTCTTAGGTGGGGATCTGGGTAGCCATGCCTTTGCCATCCACTCTCACTGAACCAGGGGCCACCAAAACCGATGAACATGTCATAGCTAGAAAACATGTAGTTGTTTGGGAAAACCGGATGTTTTGGCAAACGCAATATTTTCGATTTCCAGCATTTTTCAGTACATTCCTTCAACTTATCATCCGTTCAAAAACGCATCATCTCAACCTCAGAATCTCCCATTGCCGTCTCCCCTTTTGCGCTCATGACGAAATCAGCTTCGCATTCGCCACTCGTCATTCGCAACCCCAATCTGAAAGAAGGAGGCCGGGACCTAAATAGTCAAAAGTACCACCTTGATCCTTCAAAAAAGGCAGCCAGTTGCAGCAATGCCATGATGAGGGCGTCCTGGCTTGGATCAGTGCAGGCTCAAGCAGAGACCGTTTTTTGCCCACGTCTTCGTTGACTTCCATCAAAATTCTCGAATTAGCGCATCCGGGATTGCACCCGAAAAAAACCATAGAATTTCCGCGGCTTGCCACGCTTTACTACGGGTTTTCTATGCTTTGCTACGGGTTAGAAAACACGATGTTTTTGATTGGGGCTACAAGTTTTCTACGCGTTTCTGCGGTTTTCTACAGGTTAGCCGCCAGGATCCCGCCCCATTTTTCACAAAAAAGAACATGAACAATCTCAAAATGTGTCACTCGGTCTTGTTCTTGCACCAAAAGGGGCTTCGGGATTCAAGCACCCCCTTCAACCCTTCAAACTGGTTTCGGTATGACCTGGCGCCAGTCTTCGGGGATCTTCAGGTGCCTGTTCGGGAGAGGCAATTAAAAGCTGAAGCCAGCTGCGCACCCTGGCTGTCAGGCTCATCAATTGAAAGCTAAATGGGTGATGCCTGTGTGACTTCCACTCACCTATTCAGGGGTCTTCTCTTAGCCTGCCAGGCGGGCAAGGAGTGGTGCCCGCCACAGGGGGCCTTTCAGCCGTTTCTGGGGTCCCTGAAATTGAACCTTGGCATATTCTCATGACGCGGTCTAAGCAGATCTACGGGCTCAACCATGCACCCCTGGATATGTTGCAATAGACACCCATGGGATCCGCATTGCAATTATCGTTGTATGCCCCTTATGCGGCATAGATTTCAGGTAAATCTGATTAATAGGTCAGTGCACCTCTCCATCATTCCCTTCCTCACCGTACAAATCCGCCCGTTTCCTCCGCTCTCATCTGGTAGGGAGCAGTATTGTCCGAGCGAGCAGGTGCTCATTAAGCGTCCAATACTCCCCCCCCGCTCAAAGAAAAGAACACACAACATCAGACAAACATACAAAAAACAAAACATAAACATAGCCATGCAGCGCACATGTTCCGCCAACCCAGCGCTGCGCTTCAGGCGGAGGCGGTGCTGGCCAAGGCGCTGAAGCGCTTGGAATCAGGGCAGCCGGCACAGGCCAAGGACGAGCCCCGAGATCTAATCCCGAGATCTCGCGCCATGGGGCGGTTGTTCCGGTCAAAGTCAGTGCCAAGTTTTGGGCAACAGGAGCTGTTGAAGGATGATGCCAAAGGCACTCAACCACTTTGGGGTCAGGGCATGGGGGGCCATTGATTTTGCAACGGGTACAACATCCAAACACGCATGTCCTTGTTGTAGCGGGACATGGGCAGAGCATTGCACACTGAAGATGTACATCCACTTGTTGCATAGCAACATGGCGAGGGTGACTTGTTTTGCCTTGGGTATGATTTCGGACATTGCTTGTTGGGCAATCAGGCTTCGCCATTGTGAAGTGGGAGGGGGGCGGCTTTCTTATCCGAAATGCAGAAAGCCAGCAGCATCTTCTGTCGAGAGAGTCGAGAGTTTTTCCTGGTGGCCGTTGTAAGTTGGGTGGAGGGAAAATTAGAGAACCTGGAGTTGGGAACCACAGGTTTGGGCCATGGAGTGCACATCACGGGTTGGATGTTTGTGGACGTTTCTGGGCACGCAACATCCAGTGCGCAGCCAGGAGAAGTAGCGCCCACTTGTTCAGCGGCACCAGTTTTGATTTTTGTTTGGTTCCTGTGTGATTGATCGCGTGGTCTGCCAAAGAAGGCTAGGGCTCGGCCCACTCGAAGGGATTGAGAACCCGCAGGAGCTGCGAGAGAGCGAGGTCTTCCAAGACGTGCTGCGGTACACCGAGCTCTTCGACTCCGCCCGGGCCACCCTGCAGCCAACCAGGCCGGTCTTTCCTTCCCTGCGCTAGGAAAGCCGGAACGCTTGCAAGCAAGAAACACAAGTGGCCGGCGTGCTGTAACTGTGCCCTTTGCTTCTCGAAGCTTGTTGCTTGTTGCCTCAAAGTACCCAAAACGCCTGCCAGAAGCCGCTTTGCAAGATGACATGACCATTCACCAAATGGCCGCTTGAGGTACCCACTCGCATGCCCAGGTTCAAGAAAGTTTGGTCCCGGCCGGATGCGGAATTCTACGTACGCTCCGCCCCCGGGGCCTCCTGGTTTGAGTACAAGGCATGGCCCCAAGGGCACTGCTCACTCGAAGATGTTGATCATTGCAAGCTTGTGGAACCCGTCAGGACAGCCGAATGTGAACTCTCCCTTGTGGCTTTCCAGCGTCTCAAGAGTCTCTCATGCTCATACCCCATGTGTGACCCCCAGGCGATTCATGGGGCCTCGCTTCGCAAGATTGCTTCTGCTTCTTCTGCTTTCCAAATTCCCGGATCAGTCGACTGGAGTTATGAATGTTCACTGGACAAAGTTGGATTGGTATGGCTTGCGGGATTCTAGGTAGCCAAGGGTTGAGGTCACAGACTCTGGCTGCATGCGTGCAATTCCGTCCCGCGTGCTGGTTGAGCATTGACCTGGGCACAGAATTGTGAGTAACGGTCAATACATGTGGATGACATGTGGCACAGTTGCCATGAGGAAATGGGTGGAAGGCTGCCAGCCAATTTTGACCATGTCTGTTTGCATATTTGTGTACTACTCAAGGCACATCCTTACTTCGGTCTTGATGTGCGGGTGCACCCTGTTTTGTAAAGTGTTGTTGGAACACCAGTTCTGGCAAACAGCGTCGCTCATGCTTTTGACCCCCTGCAAACAGCCTACGGTTTTGCAGGCTGGCTGGGAAACTGTCATGTTTCGAAGAGTCGAGGGTTAAATCAAGGTTTGAAAGGTCAAACCGAAGAGCAGCCTAGATGAGGGCAGTGAAGACAGATCTTTTCCGTTGCAATCCTGGCTCCTGGGGGAAGATGATGGGGTCTAGGTTGTTCTTCCGAACAAATCTTCTGAGATTCACATCTTCCACCACCTAGACCTGCCTGACATCACACTGTGAGTGGAGTGGTAAACCCGTTTCTTGGGAGAGTTGCAGTATCAAAGAAAGGCACAACATAAGGGCTGAGGGGCGACGCACATCCAAGGACTGAACAAGGAGCAAGCAAGGGGATTGGCGGTTGCCTTTTTTGTAGGCAGAGATCGCACACACACATATATATTATATGACCAACACGTAGTTGTTGAAGGAGATGCAATTGGTTTCGTCATGTTTCGTCTTTCCTTTGGGCGCGACGGCAGATTGTGGCACAGATTGAGCAGAGCCTCGTGAATTGCATGGCTCCGCTGCTTCTTGGCTGCGGCATATTCTTGGCCATGGTCCAAATTCCAGCGGGGATGTGCTGGCCCAAAGCATGATTGTAGAAGTTTCTTGAATGGTGTGATGACCAATCGACTCCCAAGCAGCCAAGTGGGTTTTGATTGCGGCGCACATAGTTGTATTACGATGCACTGTGTGTAAGGCATGCTGTTGGAATGATAAAGCAGGAGAAAAGGACACTAGTCACATTTCGTGCCGCCTGCGAATCGGGTCCGAAAAAGGTCCACAGCGTTGCCAGTCACACTTCCAAAATAGCAGTCTCGCATCGATACATATTGCACATACCCGTTGGTGAATTAGGACTCTCACCTGGAGAGCAGAGTGTTCCATCAACACCTATTTATGTTGAGAGATGGGCGGGGAAACTGGCCCCAATATAACAGCCTCAAACAGTGGGCATGGTGTTGTCAAAGATCCATGCTTACGCACGCCGAAGCCTCAAGTCCTCTCACAGAGAAGAGCAGACACATCAGGGCCAGCTGCATCGACACAGGCACAAAGCTCATTCCAAGAAGCAAGCCCGTGTTTTCTTCTTTGTCCGTCTCCTGAATGGTGCAAGGTTTGGCTGGGGGAATGAGCCCTGTCTCCGAAACCGCAAACGAATTGCCCATCAGACACGAGCGGGAGCTGATTTTGAAGTACCAGCCGGTCTTTGTGGAGCCGCACAGAGACCTGCTGCCCCCCAGGCCCCACCACGCCTTAGTCAGAACTCTGGCCCCTCGGCGTGGGGGGCTGAGTTTTGGACCATAGGCCGATGTTAGCAACCCCCGAAAATTCAATCGAGCGTCTCGCCCATGGCAAGTTGGACAGAGGTCTGATTGGTTTGCTGAACTGCTGTCCTTGCGATAGTCGCGCCTGTGAGTCTGACAATCCAGTACCTTCTCACCCAGATCTACCATGAACGTTCTTCATGCCAGTCTATTCTTGTTGAGTGTTGCATCCTGACAAAGCTAAAGAGCTCAAAGTGGATGGCGTGCCGCAAATTTTCGCACGCCGTTTCCCCTACCACAATTAATCGTGCAGAGAATTGGCAAGCTTGCTCAGACAAGGCGGCAACATCCTCTAGTAGCATCGCCCCGGCATCAATCCTTTGACTCACTAAGAGGCCATGTCTCATATTGTCTCATACATTTCTACCTGGCGGTTCTTTGCCACTTACCGTGGTCAGTTGGGCTGTTTGGTTTTGTTCGTGGCCTCCAAAGGCCCTTTTTCGGTATGTCCAAGCGCGTTTGATTCGAGACGTCTCCGGGAGCTTAGGCCCGGATCATGGGCTTCTACATCGAGACCGTCTTCGAGCTGTTGCGGATCTCCAACCGCGACTTCGGCTTCCTCGTGGCTCGACTTGAAATCTGATTGGACCTCGCAGTTGGTTTTGGGTGTGTTGTGTGAGGAAGGAGGCTGCCTGTTTGGAAGGTGTGTCAGGGGAAGCTCACTATTCTATTCAGTCATTTTGTATGCAGTTCCGAAGTGGGGTTGTCAGTGAGTGTGTTGGCCAACTGGGGCAGCCCAAAGTATAGCTGAACTTGTAGCTGTCGCCACTGAAGACGAGGAGCCACCTGCTGTATTCGGTCCTTCCATTCCGTTTACCCACATCACCCACACCGTATTCAACGCTGGAGTGCCTAAGGATTCTGCCCGAGAAATGCAAAGCTCAAGGCACAAGTGATCAAACCAAAGGCATAGATCATGGACCCGTTTCCCCCGATACACTAATCGCTCGGCCGATTTGGAAGACCGCAAGGTGGAGATCGCCAAGTCCGACTTTCCAGCCCTTTGACGGCTTTGCATTTGGGCTGGCCGGACAGACGGACTATGCGTCGTGCATGTAGTGTCCATCATTCCGCGGGTTGATAAGCGAAGGATCGTATAAGATGATGTATCCCGAGGTGTGTGCATGAAATTCAGTTTGGTGGACGCCAGGATGCACTCACAGACAACAAGCCCCGGGTCTCGAGGTGACAGGGTGTGATGAGTTCCTAGTTCCTAGGCCAATTCGAGGGTTGGCGTGGCTAGACTCCAGCTTCAGTACTTGAAGCAAGTATGGCTTTGGGAACCTTTGCGCTTAGATCTCAGCTGCGGGCTGCTGGTATTTGCATGGCTCAGGGCTTATCGATACACATTTGAGCTGAATAGGTCTTCGAGAGTGTAAGGGGGCCAGACATGTCAAGTGGTCCTTCATGTTGGATCCTCTTTCGGACCTTTCAGGCTGGTCCTTTCTTCAGACTGGTCAACATGAATCACGCGTTTGACAACTCTCTGATGGTTGAGGGCCATTTGGGGAGATCTTGGCAGAAACGGGCTCGCCAAATGACGGGATCCAGCAGGTCGCCTCAGCTCCCAAGTCCTTGAGACTCTCGCTCGTACAGACTGGGAAAGGCTGGTTGTTGACGTGGCTGACATATTCAGAGATTGTCATTTAGAGGCCACTTCTCGGCTGCATATAGCCGAGTTGATTGTTGTCGTTGGCTAGTTGGCAGTTTTTGTGCCGTTGGCTTCTCGCAGGCTGCGTCCGGCCCTTTCCGGCAAAGGGGCAACTCTGGGAGCCTGGCAAACTAGAACTTGCCAGAGGGTTGCTGAAGCACCTCACCTTTTGCTCCTCGTTTTGGTGAGGCACATTGTGCCCTTTGGCCGTTTCTTTCTTTTTTGCGCGTCCCCTTTCGAGCGAGGTGAAGGGAGAGCTGAAGCTGCCGCGGCGACCCTTCTGGAGCAAACGCATCGAGGTGGACACGAAGAATCTGTGGCTCCCGCGGGGCGGCAACGAGACAGGCGTGCGCGCATGTCTTTGGAGACGCTTCTGGGGGACTGGATCGCTTTGTTGGCATGGCATTGACACTTTTTCTGAAATGGTGGCGGATAAGGATGTCCAACCACATCCTGGGCTTGGGGTTGACACGGCTCATGGTGAAGTTGAGGCGATCCACGTGGAAGGGGGGGAGGGACTTTTGCCCCCTGACCTTTCATTGAAATTGCGGCAGCCCCATTCTGAGAACCCTTTGTGGTTGGAACGCTCGGGGTAGATTCCAAGCGGGTGTCCTGAATACATCCACTTCCTTGCCAAAAGGCTGGGGGACATCTCACATTGGCCAAGATCCGAAAGGTGGAAGTGATGCTTTTTAGCACACGCCGATCGGACATTTAAATCGAAAGCCCCAGGCACCATCGTGGTCTCAGTGAGCCGCGTGCAGGCGGGGCGCGAGGGGGCGGGGGAAGGCCCGGATGGTGCCGGCCTTGCGTTCGCTGAGGCGTGTTTCAGTTCCGTGATTTCCGTTTGTTTCGGCCGGAAAGTGCCATTGCTGGTGTGCCCGTGGGTAAACTCGGTGCTGTCCATTGATTGCAGTGCCTAACTGTGCCTACAGGGGCCCAGGTGGAAAAAAACACTTTGCCGTGTATACAGCTTTGTGAGTTGCATCTCTACTCTTGCCTTCCCTCTCTTCCTCGCTCCTTCTCTGTTTGTCCGTCAAGAGTGCGGTCGGCTTCGCATCATGCAGGCAATTGCAGGGCATGTGCCAGGTATAGATCTAGAGGGCATGTGCCATAAAATAGATCTAGAGGGCCCAGCCTCTAGTAGTAGACTTTTAAGGGAAGCTATCTTGACAGCTGTTTGGTTCGACGTTTAACCTGTAAGCAATGTGTTTTAATGAGGTAGGAGTTTTTTTTTTCCGGAACATGGTACTGCGCACGCGGGTCAAAGACCAACCCAATCGTTTCGTGCTTCTCCATTAGCTGGGCAGATGTGGTGCTTAGGGCCTTAGGGCACACGTTCACTGGCATGCAACATGTAGCTGGTTCCCTTGACGAACACTGACTGGCTCCGCATGCCCCGCTTGAGTCAACAAGCTTCTCGCCGGTTGCCGAAAAGGGCCGCAAAGGGAAGCCGCTAAGCGATACACACACCTATTCTGAAGCAGCTCGCTTGCCTTGAAGTAAGTTGACCTGAAACAACCTGTTGTTTTCAGCCATCTTGGCAGCCATTAATGTCCAAGGCAACCCAAAAGCCCACCCCACCACCTTTCAATTCCAAGTTGTTTGTGCAAGTGAGGTAGGGGGCCAGTGGACGACTCTTTTGCCTGAAAAGCGCGCCATATGAGGCCCAAACTCAGTCCAAAGCCGACTCATCGTGTCCGGACAAGACTTTCAAATGTCCTCATTTGATACAGATAGCCCAGTCTGTCAACGGCCCTCCCAGGAGGGTCCTTTACAAAGGACCTCTTGGGAGGTGTGTGCGCGCATGCTTTGCTGGCCATGCCATGCAGGCTTACCAAGTCGGCGGAAATTATGCGTTTCATGAACTTTGCAATTGACTCCTTGGAAAGTTTAGATGAGAATGAGGTTTGAGGCCTGCGCTCGAATCCGGGCACTTGGGGCAAGGCGCAAAATGAAAGTCCTAATTAGGACACTACTCCGGCACACAGGACTAATTGGAGAAGCGCAAAGACAAGGGCATCATTTGTTGCATCTTATAATGGCAATGACGTGGTTTGGACAAATCAAGTTGTCAAATCGGCGAGCAAGAATTCCGCGTGAATTAGCGTGAGAAGGACCTCTGAGCGCGTGAAAGGACCCTCCATGGGCCTTGCTTTGTCTGAATGAAAGCCACTGCAATGAGCACCACTATGTGGCCAGTTTGACACACGCAAAATAGCTAGCAACACTGTTAAGTACACGGTGATTCGAGCTTCGCATTTGCGCTTACTTCGCAGGGAGCAGAAAGCTGCAGTTGAGTGCATTTCGGTAGGCTAAGTGAGAAACAGTCTTTCAGCTTGAATTCCACCAAACCGGATAGGATTGAGCGGGCTCCCACAAGACCCGAAAAGCATTGAAAACAGAACGGCCCTTCCTGCGGGGTCCTTTGTCTGGCAGCCCTTCCCGGAAGGGCCTTTAGATACATTGGGATAGGCCAATCAAAATGATGCCCAGACATGTCATTTTTGTAGAAACGAAACAAACACGTTCATGAATATGTCGGGCCAACTCAGACCCAGGAGATCCGGCTGAAGGTTGGATGCTGAACAATATGTGTTGCAGACTGGCGCCGGCCACATCATCATCTACTAGCGCACAAAAAGTCGCAACGACAAACAACGGGGCGCACATGGAGGGAACCCTTTGCCCCCTGGGTGTCGTTTGTGGTTTTTTCCTTTTTTGGGCGAGGGGGAGAGGACGCCAGCCGACTGTTCGGCCGAGGTGGGGGTGCCGATCCCCTCCAGTGCCTTGAGATTTCTGGGCAACAGCTCCTGGACGGCCATCGGTCATCGAACCATTGGAGAAGTTTTCGCAATTCTAAGGGTGCAAGTACATACCCCTTGTTCATACCCCCTGGCTTAAAGTGGGTTCCAACCCACTTTATGTGGGTATATACCCCTTTTGGGGAGAGGGGTATGAACATCAGCAGGCCTGTTGGGTTCATTTGCCCAAGGGTATGTACAACCACCCCTGGAGCAATGGGTACAGACTTGGATCAGTTACCAGTTTGCAGGGGGCACGCCTTCTAGGCCATGGCCCGAAAGCACCACTTGGGCCGCCACGCAGTATTTCTTATCCAACATGAAAGGAAGTCCGGGGAGAGTTTTTCCGGTGATCGCAAGGAACTGCCACTTGTTTTGTGATCTTGGCAGTTTCTGGTTTGAGCTTCAAAGAAGAAAGACTTCTCTGTGCAAGCAGCATGCCAATGATTTTCCTGATGAAGATTGATCCCGCATTGTGTGATTAGCTTCGAGGGTCCAGGGATGCCCAGACATGATGTGTAGACGGTTTCTTTGCAAAACAGAGATGCGTGTTGCAGGTAAAGCACGCAGCAGTCCCATTGCTTCAGACGAGTTCCTTCTTCTTCTCTTCTTTTCTTCTTCCTCTGGTTATAGTGGGCCCATCCCACAAAGAAATCAGAGACCAGTGCCTCAAGGAGCTACGTTTCCTCTTCCCCAAGAACGGCCTGGACTTACTTGTCTGTGCAATGGAGAAATTAAGGTGACTTTGGTAGCAGCTTGAGACGTCACGACGGGCGTGGCCTCAGGCTTCGTCAAGTCCATCCTCGGCAACATCAAGCGTGGCTGCGCGCTCAGCTCCGACGCACCTTGGCGGAAGAAAGCGCGAGTCGGAGTGGCAAGTAGCCATCCGTCCCATGGCGTCCGAGGTTGGCTCAATGGAATGCCGGGTCATGGCTCAAACCGCCCGCGCTGCCCTTGCCTTGCTTGGAAAACAGCGTCTCACACACAAAAGTCTCCATCGCCTTTTGGCTTCTTTCAGCCTAAGGTCCTGCTTGTACTCAAGTGGACAGGGCAAGTACTTCACCGCGCCATGTGGCAGCGAGAAAAACATACATGGGAGATGGCAGCTCAATACATGACGTTGAGCGAAGACAATGGAATGGGAGTGCCCAAAAGTCAGGCCTCGGACTGCTTGGTTTAAAGGCTGATTCCATGGAACCCATGTATTTTTCGCCCATCGACATGTTCCTTATGACTTCTTGAACTTGTAGGCTTGTAAGTCAACAAAAGGACTAGGGGTTCATTCACAATTTTGGGGGGGTCATGCCTTCGGCCTTGGAACAAACTTTCCTTCTGGCGTCCCAAGGAATCCAGCCCCTGGAACAAGCGCATCAAGCGAGATGCCGATGGCTTCTACCGGGAGCTGGCCACTGTGGAGGATTCCCTGGCACTCATTGGCTTAATGAGAACCTGTTGACTTGGGGAACTCCTTTGCCCCGGTTTCTGAACTTCAAACCTTTTGAGAAACATTACATGAGTTGATTTCATTTCATCAAAAGTCCGGACTTGTTGTGACCACTCTAGTGGGGAGGTGCCAAGACTGCGTTTTCGTTCACTGGGAGTCTGTTTGCATCTGTTTGCCGGGGTCAGTTGGATTCAGCCTGAAGCCGGATGGTAGCCGAAAGAGACCTTCTCCCCAAATGGGAACGGTTTGCTGGCTCCCTGCCACAGTTGAATGGACACGAAGGCCTCAAACGAACAGCGACACAACACACCACAGTTCCTTGTTGTGGAAACGCCCAGCTGCCAAGCCAGACTTGCTAGTTGGAGGGCCTCCCTGCACCCAGCACCCCATAAGACGCCCAAAGATGCCCAAAGCGCCGGCTCCAATCCTTCACTGGTATTGCTTCACAAGTTTGCGTGTGTGCTTTTTTGGCAGTTTGCTTCTGTTTGTTTGAGCGGGCTGCAGATGATCTTCTGCTTCTTTTGGGTGCCTTCCAAGGGCGGGACAGGCTTCCCACGCCAGACTTTGCATGGTAGTTGTGATCCTTTCTGATAAGTCCAAAGTCATCCCTCCGACAACTCAGCTGTTCTATAGTGGAGATTCCATTCTACCTCGGGGGGGGAGGGATCAACGAGGGTCGCCGTTTGGCTTTCATGTCCAATTTGCCTGTTGGGCCTTTTGGTCTCGGGGGCTCAAAAGGTCATCATGAGTTTATGTCCGTCTTGAGTGCGAATGGCACCTGTGTTGATTGCGGTCCGTGCCGTCTAGCATTCCCACCCCCTGACCTGTGTAGTGTAATGGTGGGGGGGTTCCAGACCCCTCCTCTCCATTTCGCGAAGTGGGATGTGGTGTATGGGGCGGAAAGCCCCATGTGTTTCAGCCAATTGCAGGTCAGAAGTTCTTCTGGGTTTCCATCACTCAGTTTACGTTAACTTTTGGGTTGCAACGCAGCCTTTGTAACACATTGTAGCCAGTTTAACTTCTCTGGTCGCGCCTTTTTTTTCTTCGAATCTGCGGGCGTCCAAATCGCGCAGGACGCGGCCAAGAACCGGCGCAGCCTCTCGGTGTCGGAGCTGCCCGGGGAGGATATCTTTGACCGGCCCTGGCGGCTGACGTCCTAAGTTTCGCGGTTTGTGACGGGGCCGGCGGTGTGGAAAGTGGGGAGGTGTCAAATCGCAACCCCAGCAAAAGTAATATGGGTGGTCATGCTTGGAGTACATGTTCCGAGTGCTTGTTTGTTGGAAAAGGAGCTGTTAGCCACCAGCTTCGCGAGTGTCTGTCCGAGCGCCGCGCTGCGCGAAGTCTTGATAGGGAAAAGAGCAATGGACAAGCGGGCAATGTGCGCAGCCCAACTTGAGGTTTGGGTGCGATGTATTCCTTTTCCACTTTCACCATACCATGAAGGGAGGGCTAAACCCAGCCTTGGCGCGTGACGTTTGCATCCAAAGGGACAGCTTTGGAGCCAGGCTCCTTGCTTGTCTCGCCACGGGGAGGATTCCTTGGATGGCCATGCCGCATGACAAGGTAAGGTTTGCAAAAGGGCGGATAGTTTGAAGCGAATTGGAATGGTTACTTGTCAAGCCACAGCTTTGGTGCTTGTGTATCCCCGTCATTTTGAGCTTTCGCGTTGGCTGTGCAGGGAGTGCACCGTAGACACGGCTTCAACATTTCAACAGCCTTGCTACGCCGAGTTTTTAATTGAATCCTGGCGGCAGGTCGGGAGCGTTGCTGCTCGCCCGTGCGAACTGTGCAAGCAACTTGTTTAGTGTGGAATGCGACACATTGCAAGGCACAAATCTGAAGATGCATCATTGCTTGCTTACACCTGTATACTTGTGTCGTTTGACCCTGACACCGGTTGCTCATTGGTCCTGGTGCTAGCTCAATAGTTGCGCCCCCAAGCTTTGACTCTTTCGGGGAAATGCCGGGCTTTTCTCACTCGCACAAGGTTCACTTGTGATGCCGGGGCCGATCGATAAATCGTCAAGTGGAGTGGTCCCTGGCGCCATGTTTGACCTAGCAGTGCTTTGCCTCCTGCGTGCGTGTGTGAGTGTGGGGGTTGGGGTGTGTGTGTGTGTGTGTTCGCAAAGGTTTGGCTTAGTTTTCCAATTAAATCGGGTTGGGAAAGGAGGTGGCTTGGCTGCAGTGAGTACACGCTCGCAAATGCCCCTGCCGCCCTACTGCTGACCCGCCAGCCGTGTTCCATTTCGGCTGGGAGTCAAGTTAGCTCTGCCGGGATTCCGTGAAGCGAAGGGCGAGTCTAGAGGCCTTGCCACTTGGGGCAGATAGGTAAGGTCGGCAAGGCAATGAAGCTAGCGATCGGCATTAGCCTCCGACCATCTCCCCCCCCGGCTTTCCAATCGGTGCCCCAGCTGTTCCAATGTGTCCAGTTCCTTGAGAGTCCGCCAGTATGGCGGGCGACAAGGTCCTATACTTTGGGACCGCTTATGGTTTTGTCGTTATTGTAAGCAATGTAATGCAGATGTGTGTTCCATTTCAACTTGGCTTTTCTGGTGGTTGGGTTGGCAAGTACTGCTTACCCATTAGTAGCCAAAGCGTTCCCTTTCAGCCAGGATCGTGTTTTGCCTTTGCACACTCTCCGAATTGATGGAGTAGCAGGGACAAGCAACACTTGGTTGCATTTGGTTGACCGGTTACCTTGAACCTTGCATCACTTGGACAAACCCATGTTTCTCACTCCACCGTTTCCCACTTGCCCAAACGCTTACAGAAGTGTTCGGCCCAGGCCGCAAACCCGCCCAGAAACCGCTTCGCCGGATATCGGTTTGATGGCCTGAGACAGGCCCCTGGCGTTGAGAGCTCAACTCCATGTGTAGCATTTGAAAATTTCAGGGGTCCCTGTAGAACGACTTCAGGGCACCAAATTAGATGGACCTGTCATTATCCAGAGATTTGAAGGAGACATTGAAGAGATGCTTGGTTTTTTCTTTTGTAATCTGGATGGCTCACCTTTCCCCTTTCACCATCCATGAGAGGGGCCTTAGGCATTGGTACAGGCAACGCCCCATATAACGAAGAAAGCCTCGAGCTTTGCACGAAGACCACCCCCAAGTCCCACTGTTTGAGAAGAATGTGGCAACGGAAACATATGATGCATTGGCAACTGTTCAGGATGGATCTTTTGGCTAGGCCAAACGTCCACCAAAACACGGCAACATATTGCAAGGACCCTTAGCCTTTTATCACGCCTGGTTTGCCCATCGTGATTCAACGCGAAAGTGCACCAGATTCGCCCCAGACTTCTGCAGGCGTTGCAGAGGGCCCTTGGATGTCGGCACCTTGCGCCGAGGGCTTGGCTCAGGCGTTAGGTCGTGGATGGACGGCCGCGGCCCACCTGCCGGTTCCCCGCTTTCGCTGTTTCCGGCCGGTAAGGGCAACTCGTGGCAGACGCCAATTGAGCGCAGAAAAGGGCGGCTTTTGATGCTGGTCACCACATTCAATGTCATGCGTGAGGCTTGGAGGAAAACAGATGGATTGTTTGGGTTTGTTTGGAGGGAAACATGCCCATTCTGGTACTAGCAACGCTCATGTTGGGGTTCGACTGTCTGGTTGAGTGGGGAGTTCTAACACTTGCTTGCATGTGAAGCTGATCATTGCAGGGTCCCCCGTTCAGACACATTCTTGCAAGAGTGGTCGCTCCATGAGCTCGCGTTCCGCCGTTCCCAAAGGCATCAGCGTTGCTCAAGCGGTGCGGGACACGCGCAGAGTGGACTTGAAGACAGCGCTCCACGTAGGGATTTGGAAGCGGAGCACGGACCGACCAAATGTTTGAGGTTACTAATAGCACAACCAGGTGCATGGCTTGCGTTGCCCAATGCGCCTTGCTTCTAAATCTCAAGCCCCTTCAAACCGTATCCTTACAAGCTGAAAGCCTTGCTTGTTTGGCTACATCCCACGTTTTCCAACAATCAATGTTCACGCAGGGCCCAAATGAGATTGCTGCGGGCCTTCCAACAGAGACCAGGCACAACCGAATTCAATCAGCAAAACGCGCCTGATCAGGAGTTCCGCTTCTGTCGGGGCTTGAACCACATCAGGAAAACTCTATCAAGCTATATAAAGTTTCGCGTTTTCAAGCTGATTTGTTGACTCTCAGGCCCTATGCATGAGATTTGCATGTGATGAACAATTTCTGGAAGCAGCGCTGCCTGTTCCATGGCATGAGCTTTTGTTCTTCCCATTGCTTTGCTTGTCGGTTTTCTTACTTTTTTGACTGGCTTGACTGGCTATCCAACGCACGCAACTACCACAAAGTTGGTTTGATGGGTTGAATTGATGGGGATTGGCATGGATATGCGTGCAGGTGTTCACTTACAGACGTTTGTGTGCCCATAGGCTCTATGGATGTATCTATATGCCTGCCTTTGGGTATATCAAATTGTTCCTTGGAGATACGCGAACATCTTCTCATATGACATGGCACTGACAGGCACGAGAATGTGTTTCATGTCCTTTTCCTCTTGTCAAATGGAAGACCCCTTTTTGGGCCCTGGAAGGTGCCACGTCTTGCAGTCCATCCACAACCTACTGTGGCTGGAGGAAATCCTGCACCGCTTGAAGCCATGAAAAGCCATTGTTTGTTGGCATGTGCAAGGAAATCTTTAATCCAGGGTTTCTTAGTGGTGCAGAATTTCGTCCATCCACAACCTATGTCTGACTGAAATGTCAGACCTCAACAGGTCATGCATGTTGCAACAACTCGAGCGGAACGGTGCGCATGGGTCCAATGGTCGAGCGGGCGCTTCGCTTCGGATCTGATGGAGGCTCAATACGGGTTTCGCATGATTTCCCCGCGGGCATTGGACTTGTGAAGGGTGGGGAGGAAGGACACGTGCTGAAATCCCCCCCCATCGTTACTCAAAGTGTTTCAGCTGATTTTGAGCTGTTATGCATTGGTGGGTGCGTGGGCCTGTTTGTTGGCCTGTTTCTGTTGGGACCCCGAACTATTTATAACTCATCCCGAACTATTTATAACCCATGCTCGAACTATTCATAGTCAGATGTGTGCATTGTATGGGTTTGTTGAGATTTCTTGAGTAATGTGCTTGCTTGTTGCGGCCCTCTTCACCCGTAGTTTATACCATGACAGCGTGGCAAGTCAAAGGGACGGCTGGAATATCTTTGTTTCATGAAGTTTCGAAGGTTCATGTTCATCGAATCTTATCTTCCCTGAAACTCAAATGCACTCATGAAACGTCTGAAGCGTACAGTTTTGATGTTGAAACGTCAGCAAGCCGAACGGAAGGCCAAGGCGTGTTTCTGCTTTGCGGTGCCGAAGCACGGAGATAGCCAAGTTTCCCCTACTCCGCGTGCGGTAACAACACCTGACATCTGACCATCTGGCAGGACATTTGCACCTAAGACTTGCAGCTCTAGACTTGGCAGCCTCAGGCTGAAAGGCTTTGCTCCTCCTCTTCTTGGTCTTCCTGCTGCTGGCCACCGCCAGCTTAGAAGCGGAAAGGCTGAGCCAACCCCGCCAAAAAGGCTTGGTGAACACTGGCCCCTTGCGAGGACTACGCTCACAAATAGCCAGCAGCAGATGCGCAAGCAGAAGTAACAGTAACCAACCACCAACAACACGGTAGTGTTGGCTCTGCCCAACCCTGCGAAATTGCAATTTTGCTCTGCTATCATCAATGGCTCGTCTCTAGTCAACTAGTCAGGTCAGGTAGTCAACTGAGCACACCAACCAATCAAGCCAAATCAAATCAAGTAGTGAGTCAGCAGCCCCAGCCAATCAGACCAAATCAAATACATTGTTTTTTTAATTAAACGATGAGCAAACCAATCACAACAATTCCTATCCAACCGAATCCAACCTACCAACCAGGCAACAGACCAATCAACCAACCCATCAATTGATCTTCCAACCAATCAAGCAACCAGGCAACCAACCAACCAAGCAAACAAGCAAGCAAGCGAGCGATCAATCAGCTAACCAACCAAGCAAGAAACCAACCAACCAATCAATGAACCAACCACTCAAGAAATCAATCAATCATCAATCAATTATCCACTCAACAAGCAAACAAATACATGCACTCCAAGAATGCATCATATCAATACCTATCAATCCACCAACCCAAGCCCATCAATCAACGAGTCCATGAGTCTGGCTATCCGCGAAGTGCAAAAAAAGCTGTTTGACCCGTAGTCAAAAGGAACATTGTGTTTTGACGATGATACGATCTGGTTCTGATCGTTAGTTGAAGCAGTGTCAGCAGGGCGAGTGGTTGCGATAGGATTGAAAGGCATGATGCAGCAATACAATTGCCCACTGTCATCAGGTTTCCGAGTTATCAGTTGTGTGACACCCAGGTGTACTTCGTGCTGTGTGATTCCAATATATTTCGCCTACTACACAAAGTAAACTTCAAATCACGTTCTGTACGCGTCATTTCGTATGTCATTGCAGGCCGTCGTAGCATATGCTGGCACTTAACAATGTGGGATATCAACGGCATGTGTATGTATACTGTTACTTTATTAAAAACATATATGGTTGAACTTCGTGCAATTTTTCGCAATGGCGAAACTTGACACATGACATGACACAGTCATCACAGTAGCTAAGCTATGGTATGTGTTCAGTTTATTGACAGTTCAGAACGGTTCCGAACAGTTGCGAGCTATTTCTGGATCATCAAAGTACGAATGGTTCAGAACGGTTCCGAACGGTTCTGAACTATCTATATTTTTCATTCAGCAAGAGTTCAGAACGGTTCCGAACGGTTCTGAACTATCGTTAGTTTCAAATTATAGATAGTTCAGAACGGTTCCGGACGGTTGCGAACTATTTATGCAGCCCGAACTATCCGAACTATTCCGAACTATTCTGGAACTATTTGGCTCGGCTGGGCCTGGCCTGCATAAATAGTTCAGAACGGTTCGGAACGGTTGCGAACTAACTGTAAACCAGTTTTACAAATGGTTCAGAACGGTTCCGAACGGTTGCGAACTATTTACAAATGAAACTTTATGATGGTTCAAAACGGTCCCGGACGGTTTCGATCTATGACTATATCAGAGTTCCACACAGGCACAAGCTAGTTGTAAGCTAAAACTGTTAGATAACGGCTGTGAGTTGTTTTGAATTGCTTCTGAGGATATGCGTGTTTTTGCTGCAGAGCGTACTGTGCTTACTATCTAAATTCTAAGCAGGGAGATGCTCAACAAGGTGAGCTTGGGTGAGCTAGAATCACACACTATCGGCGGCTCGTGGTCACAGACCAAAATTGAAAGCTTCAATCTCAGTCTGCCCTGGCCTGGCAGCCCAAACGCCAACGAAGCTGAGAACTGCCCCCACCCCGCCGAGCAGACCCAACCAGGCGGCAGTTTACAAATAGTTCGGGCCAATTTATAAATAGTTCGGGGGCAAAAGTCTGGGAAAAGCCTGTTTAAGACAGAGGACAGCAAGGCTGCAGGATTTTACAAGGGGGGTGTTGTCGCGCGGCGGGTGGGAACAGCTTCCACACTGGCCCCTGCGAGAGAAAGGGGCAGAAAGCAAGGAGCAAGAGAGGGAGAGACAAAGGGACAGATGCAGAGAGGGGGAGAGAGAGGGAGGGAGAGAGGAGAGTCAGAAACTTTTCAGTCCGCGTAAAATCGCACGCAGCAAAATCGTTGACGCGTGTCCTGACGGATCAGAGGCCATCCTTGGTTTAATCTGACGCCTGCCTCATGGAGGCCCTTCTTCCCAAAGTTGGCGGGGGAGTTTCGCGTGATGGTGGGGATGATGGGGATGAGGTGCACTTGGCACGCGCCGTCAAGACAAGTTTGCGTTTTTGCAACAGGCTCCCAAAACCTGCGGCGCTCGGATGGGTGTGACAGAGGCAACGGAAAGCCGTCAACAGATAGTGCGCTGATGTTGACTGTAAACAATTGAAGCTCGTAGTGTTTGTTTAACAGCTCGGTCCAACTCCAACCCTAAAACTCATCTTGGCCTTGCACGCGCAACGCAACGCTCATGAGTAGTGAGCAGTGCTGTGGGGTCGGCGGCATTACTTTGTCGCCGCACAAATCAACTCATCACTACGCAGTTGCACCATCACTGAAAAAGTAAAGGATAAAATAATAAAGAGTCTAGGGAAAACTGGAAACCAGCTTGACCGCAAGCCCCAAACCGATAAAGGTACAAAAAGGACATGTTAGCCACGCGCAAAACCCCTTGCTTGTGCCAAAGCAAAAATACTAATATGCCAAAAGTTGTCAAAGCAAAGCGCAAGTCATGGTGCCAGAATCAGTACCACTGACACATCTTCAACACCAGCGCCAACCAGCAAGCAGGTCGCCATCATCGCATCACATCACCGCCATCAACCATAAAAGCCTTTCGTCTACACTCAAACCAGGCTACACAACAGGAACACAGGAGGTCGCGTGCGGGGCTTTGGAAGTTCACATGAATCACCACTGTCACCCCCAACCCGATTCTCATCATTCATCAAACCACCATGACACATGACCCATCATGAGTCTGACTCCACCAAGAAAAGGGCCCGGTCCATGCCACCCCCCAAAAATGAATGCCAAACAAAACAACCATTGATCATCCATTGGAACCGGACCCATCATCACCTCCATTCATCACTATCTTCACTGTCATCACGTCATCACGGCCATCATGGCCCTGCCAAGAGAAAGAGTCAAAATCAACGCCCCCCTCGCGGATGCCAAAGAGAACCATCATCATAGATCGCCCGGACCCATCATCATCACTGTCACCGTTGCGTCAGTCCAAAATAACCCTCCCCCCGACTCACCCCCCTCCCCACACACAACTGCTGCCACAGAAAAACCGTTATGAATCATTCATGGGAACCGGACCCATCGATATCATCATGTTCATCATCATCATCGTCTTCACACCATCATCGCATCATCGTGACAGCATGGTTCCTCACCATTGCAACCGAATCTTCATCCGCATCATCGTCGCACCCTCACTTTCTTTCAGCGTCATCGTCTCCATCATCGCCATCATCGCCGCCAACATCATCGTCAGCATCGCGCGTGTGACCATTCAAACCACTGTCTATGAGGGATTCCCGACCAACTGCCATGAATCATCCACCAGCTATCAGTCAGTCTGTCTATCATGCCCGTCAGCACCCTTTTGCAAGCCGAGTCTCAGTCTAACCCTCACAGTTTTGTCAGAGTGCGCATTTACATTTTGCTGCGCGCCGAACGCTTACCCGCCTTCGGACTTTAACCCGCTTTCGAACAACCCTCCTCCCTGCCATGGCAGTCAGGAGTCAGACAGGCTACATGACAACTCAACAAAAACACAACCCTGGACCCTGAGTTACTGGCCGCGACAAGCTGCTGGTGAGAGCCTAAAACGAAAAAACGAAGCGTGTTTGCGCAAGACAAGTGCGGACAATGTGGCCCAGTGCTGCAAGAGCTGTAACAACACTGTTGTTTGCTAAGTGTTTTCGCGTGTCTTGTCTTGTTGCAGCCAACGCCAAATGAAAATAATCTGGAAGCGTGAAATAGTCATTTGCTTGTCTCTGTCTGCCTGTCTGAGCCCACTGGCAAAGGTTATGACAAAAGCAAGCTGACACCAGATGTCGCACTTTCATGCCCCCACCAATGCATCCGCTGAAGTTGGGCACTTGCTTAGCTTGACTCAAGGTACCTATGTGCCAGCAATTCATCATCAAACGCCAGCATGTGCAATGCAACCTAGGCGCAGGCTTGCAGGGTTTTTGTTGGGAGAAAGACGCCACCAGCTTCACGTTTGTGTTTCTTGGCGTAGATAACTCCTGGGCAACTATAAATAGTTTCTGGGCGATATAAAATACTCTCTGGGCAGTTATAAATAGTCCCTGGGCATTTAAAAATAGTTCCTGGACACATGGGCTTGTCTACAGACAAACAGGCCCATGCACCTGCCAAGTTATGCACGACGAATTCACTTGTGGCGTGAACGAAGACTCACTTCCCTGTTCGACCTTCAAGAGCCACAGTTTTACTGGAACCCACTTCCGAATTGCCACCTTTGAAGGGAAAGTCAAGTAACCCCTTTCCGAACAAACCAATCATTTCCGTGGGCAACCTTAAAAAATGTGACAGTCATTCACCCCGATTATTTACTGGTTGTTTCGGATGACCGGCTGAAGCAAGCTTATGCCGGGCAGCTGCGGCAACTTTAGTCCGAGCTTCCTCGAGTGAAATGAACCGCCATGCTGGTACCAGCGTTTCAAAAGACACATCGGGAAGAAGGGTCTTTGCATGGCCGTGCTGGAGCTTATCCGGTCGCTCCATCTCTCAACCTGTGGATGTGCCTTTAGTTATGTTCGCATTAGTCCGGTTGGTGTCATTTCTGTGGGGGTATAGTCTGAAGTTTACGGTCTGCAACAAGCAAATGACATTGAGGCCCTAGCGGCAAACAAGCTTTCAGGAACTCCCCTCCGGGTCCAAGTTGCGTCTCTTGGTGACTTTGAAGCATCACCTTTCAGGTCATGTTGAATTGAGTGTCCTTTTGGTGCGGCATGTGTGTGTGTGTTTCTTGACATCAACATTTTGAGCCAAATGCAGTCGTAGATGTTTAAGCTGACTATGCACGGTGTCAAGCCTGGACGTTGGGCCATTCCGGCAAGCAAGTTTTTCAGGTTGGTGTCAAAAAAGCTTCCTTTAACAAACATGTCAAAGAGACACTTGCCTGGCAAATAAGCCGAATGGCTTGTTTGTGGGATTTCCCTGAAGACGGGCACAAGTTGAAACAAATTTGTCCAGCCTGCAGTCAGAGGGTACAAAAGGACACAAAGGACACAAAGGATACAGAAACCTTTTCACCGCCGCTCCTTTGCAGTACCAAGCCGCTCGCCCCACATGGCCCGCTGCTTCCTTCGCGCTGTTTTGGGCGCGCAACTGGGGTTCTGCCTGGCGGAAACTGGAAATGGCGCTTGCATGGTGCAACTGGATGAGTCCAAGGTGGTGACATGGCTGGTCTGGAATACTCATTAATTGGTTGGACCGAAACACCTTCAGCCTATTGGGAAGTTGTAAGTTTCCCCACTTGTCACTAGAAGTCAAGCTGTTGGCACAGCCGCCCAGCGGTTTTTGTGCGGAGCCTTAGCCCCGAGCTTTCGGAAGCCAGAAGTCTCACACAGGTGAGAGTGTCGCGCACCGTCACTACGCTGCAGGCGGCGTGCCAAAATGTTCAGGGTTTGGGCCTTAGTCCCAACAGCGAAGGGTCCGGCAAGGGGGCTGAGTGCTTTAGGAATTGATTGGATGACATATCCCGCAATGTTTGATTCCTCGAAACGCCAACAATTAGATTGGAAAGCTTCATCGGCCAAGCTTATTCCCAGGTTTCAAGGGCACGGGCAAAACGGAGGTGTCGGGGACTTTTTCGGTTTGGCCAGTTTCCTCTGTTTGCCAATTTTCTCCTGCCTTGAAGAAGCCAACCCCCCTAGGAAGGCCTCATGTTTTGTTTAGGGCTGCTGCCGGCAAGTCAACAAGCCATTGGGGGAAGTGCCTGGCCAGGTGGTGTCGAACCCCATCTTGGACCGCACCTTGCAAGCGCCAAACGGCACCCGCTTTGTCAACCCCATCCACGACACCGCCTGGGCCTCGCTGGCAGAGCTGGGAGCGGACTTGGTGCGCTACGTCCCGTGGTACCCTTACCCCAAAAAGCGCCTCAGCCTTTGGCTTGAGACCGCCCGTTGAACACAGATGTCTTGAAACCTTGAAACTGTTTGACATTTTGAAGGTCTTTGCACTTCTTACTCCTTGTTTGTGTTCATTGAATGGCGGCTGTCGACAGACATGGGAAAAGCAACAGCCCCCCGATTCAAAGTGCGCTCGGGAATAGGGGGTCCAGGGATTTTGAGTCCTAACTCCTTTATGATACTCTCACTTGCCCAAAGCGAATCGACCTTTTGACCTTTTGGTGCCCCCCTTTTGGTCCATGTTTTGTCCTGGCCCCAAAAGGTCAACCTTGTATTTGTGATTCCTTTGGGCAACGGAGTACTTCAGAGCCAGACCAGGCATTCAAGCGGCAGAGCTGAAATGCATTTGGAAAGCAACCAGCTGTTTCACCTACATCGCAATCCTGGTCGTGATCATGTTTCGGAGCACTGATTCGGGTGTGGCCACCCGGGTGGCTCTTGGTTCCCTGACAAGCAGCAGGGTATGTGCAGAACAGGTGACTTTTGGCAGCTTTCGTTTTAGACTTCTAGGATGGTCCCAGCATCCTTTGCCTTCACGGCCTGAAGTTGGGATATAATTATAATAGTCTCATATGCATCTTGCGGTTGGTCTAAATGGGTTGAAGCGGTAATCATGGTAAAATGAGTCACATGGTGATGGTGATCATTTGCATGCGTTCTTATCTCGTGTCATGGGGCAAGCCATCCCATTTTGAAGGGATCACATTCGCAGATCGTTCTGCCGAGGGTTCGACCTCGTGAGTGAACAAAGGAGCGTGGCGGAGCTGGATGAGCCGAAGGACGGCAAGAACACGTCCTGGGACTTCACTCACATCACACCCATGCTGGAGGCAGGGGGCTTTGTTGGTCGAAGATAAGGCGGCGTTCTCTCTGTGTGTGTGTGTTTACTTTGCTTCCTTTGAACAAAGGTAGGCAGGAAGCTTGAAGGATGAGTTGCTTCTTACTTTAGGGAGCCAAGAGGTTGTAAGGAACAATACTGGTTTGGTCCTGTGTGGAAACGGGCGAGGACTTCATGGATGCAACCTATGGGCAAAACCACTCCACGGTGCTGAATTTCGCCACGCAGCCCTGCTGGCTTTTTGGCGATGCGAAGAATCAGACACAGAACTGCTCCTATCCGGAAAACCCAGACCAGTCCTTCTTCTCCTACGTGCGAGGCAGCCGAGCTAACCTTTTAGACCCTTCTGCAGGGGATTTGGCCGCCTATTACAGCCGGCTCCTGTCGCACATTGTGAAGGGAGAGTTTACGGATGAACACGGCGTGACGCACAAAAGCGGCAAAGGCTACAGCAGGTTCAATCGGGCGCATGGACACGTCTGGGAGCTGTTCAATGAGGCGGAGCATGGCTACACTGTTGAGCCTTGCCTGTGCTGAGTGTTTGTTGGTGTTTGTGTTCCAAGTCAACTGCAGCAAGACATACAGATCGATAGAAAGACATACAGCAGGCATGCATGACAGGCGGCCAGGCAGGCACGCAGGCAGGTTGACCGACTGACTGACCGATGTCCTGACAGACAGATGGGCACCTGCAGGCAGATCAAATGGACAGGTAGGCAGACAGACATGGTAGACGCAGAGACAGAGATGCAAACGCTGGATAGGTAGCCAGATAGCCAGATTAGTCGATAGACAGACGGACGGGCAGGTGCAAGGTATATATTTTTTTGGAACATGGACATGCCTGACCAATTGCTCCCATCTGGCTGCCAAGGACCAGTACATTCACGACTACGACGTGGTAGTGCCTGCCATGATCGCGGCAGTGGGCGGCCCTGAAAATGCCCCGGCGTTCATGGGCATTGGCGGGGCGACAGATGCCTGGGTGACGCCTTTCCTAAACGGCAGCCTGGCGCTTGGTTTGCGAGCGTTGCAAGGCCCCCAAAGCTCGTTTCTGAGCATTGAGCTTAGCCCTTTGGCCATTGCCAGGTAAAGCCTAGCATTGTGGCAACTGGAACGGTTCAATTGCGCATGGGCAGTGATGTTTTGTGTGTCTACATTTGTCTCGTGGACCTAGCGGTACTAGTACCTAGAATTACTTCGCCAAAGATGTTCCGCAAGTGCATATAAGGGTTGTGAAGCTTGTGTCCAAGGCAGCAAGCACTCGTCCCACGCGCCCATTGACTACGTCTCCCTGCATTACTACGCAGGTACAGGGCCCGGTTTGCTCACGAACCTGGTTCCTCATGGTTTTACGAACACGTAAATGAAACAAGGCAAGGCAAACACTGCTGTGTGTTGACCCATTCATAATTCCACCCGAAAGCAGTGTATGGAAGGGGGACTGCCACCGACAAAGGAACCATTTCCATTACTTGCCTTTGTGAGAACCCATTCCAGGTTGAGATCCTTCATGAATCAGCAGTGACGTGGTTCATCAAGTTGGCTTATAACTGTTACACGCAGATCCCACTACTAAATAAAGCATGACCCCGTAGTTCAATCTCTTGCGGTAATTAAGTAGCCGCCCCAAGCAAGACTGGAAGCGCACTCTTACTCTGAAGCGGTAGTTCTTGGCTGAATTGTATGTGCACTACTGTAACACAAATATTTGGGCCCCTGAAGCAAGGCCTGTTATACGTGTGTGTGTTTCAGATGGGGGGGCTTCCCAAATCGAAGACCAGCCAGAAGAGTGTCTCACCTTCAGGTTCGCGGGCTTGTGGTGGCCCCAAAAGCGACACATGAATCTGGATGGACAAGATTTTGTATATTGGACGTTTCTGGGGCACCGTGCCTCAAACGTGCCAGCCTGGCAGAGTCCTTTCAACTCATAAGGGATATTTGGCTGGTCAAACCACTTTGAAGAGAATCCCCTCACTCCCTGAGTTCCCGCCCAGCATTTTTGTTGGGAAGAGTGGCAAACAGAAGTTGGGACTTTCTGTTGGCTCTTCCACAGAGCTGAGAGCCACATATTTGTCACATGCCGTAGGCTGCAGCAACCGCACGGACCCCGGCACCTATTCTGCGGGCTTCTTCGGCGGCGCCCGGCAGTTTGTGGAGAAGCTGAAGGCGGACATCGCAGCGCGCGATGCCTCGGGGTACCCTCAGCACCTTGGCCCCTCACATGTCTCAGGCTGGAGATTGCTCAAAGGCCGCCTATAAGCTTCAAAACCAGGCAAGGGTTTGCTCAAAGGCAAGCTCCCCCCAGGCTTGGAAAGTTTCTAGAAGCGCCCAGGGCCAAAATTGACTTGGACGAGCTTGGGGTCATCATGCCGGACGACAACAACGCCAGCTTCGGCCTCGACGGGAACCTGCCGGACATCTATTGGAACGCCGCCGGCGCCTTCTATGCGCACCTGTTCGCCACGTTGGCACCCATGGGTGTCGAGGCCAGAACACGCAGAGTTTCAAAGCCGACGTGTTGGCCGTTTGGAGCGGGGCTCGCCTTGGGCAGCATGCTGTCACAGGGTACCCCCCCAGCAAGCCCCCACGTCTTCTTTGCAACGCGGACCTTCCATGTCAAGGCTCAGAACAAGTAACCCAAGCGGAGTTGATTTGCGGGGCCAAAGGGGTGCGATACCCAATGCCAGGGTTTGACTCACTTTTGATGTTCCTGTGGCTGGCTAAGCTGCCGTGGATGTTCCGGTGGCTGGCTTCCCAGGATGCATCACTTGGCTTTGTGTCCGTCTTGGCATGGAGGTGCTGGGCCAATCTCAGCTGGCCGGCAGTCCCAAGATACCCGTGCCTCGGCAAGGATGCACGGGACCATGAGCATCATGCCTGTAAGTTGCATGCCTTTGGTACTTGGTATGGCATGCGCAGCATGTGGGCCCTTTGACGAGTTGTTTTGGACAGGGCCTTCGGAGGTTTTGCGGTCAGCTCCCCGCCTTAGCCCGCCTCATGCATGTGACGCCGAGGAGTGGGGCATCCCATTGCCGCAGTACCCCAGCGTGTCATTGCTGGACTGGCGCACAGGCTTGGGCAATGCACGCCGCCCAACGGCACGTTTCCCCTCATGTTCTTCTCCTTGTTCGCCCTTTTTCTGTTACATGTGTTTTTTCACGTTCATTCTTGCATGTGTTTGTATGCATGTTGTGTTGTTCCCCTTTTCTGTCAAATGGTGACCCCCCCCAGCAATTCCTATGGTCACTAAACTTAGGTTATTGGGTGCTGAGGCTCTTGATCCAGGACTGAGGGAGCTGTGAGGCGACCATTCACCAGCGGGCCTCATCCCAGTTGCTCACAGTCGGTCTGTCAACCTCTTCTTTTTCCCCGTTTTGACTAAATCTAGCCATGGTCTCGTTTTGTTTCCAGGACCCAGGGATAGGTGAATCTGCCTTGCACCCAGACGTCGGACTTCGTAGGACTTCGCTGTGGGGGATGAGCTGTTGGCGACCAGCGTGGGCTGTGCTCAGATCACAGCCATGGCGGCGCGGACGACGGGAGGCCTGGACGTGCAAAAAGAAACGCCTCTACCAGTTGTCCTTCGGTTCCCTCTCAAAACTGGAGTTGGGGAGGGGGTGGCGGGTGGCCTCTGGACGTTTTTTGGATATTGGTTTCTTCGTGAAGCTTTGCCCGCAGGAGGCTGGAAGCTTCTGCTGGTGAATCAGGCAAATTCTGCTCAGACGGTCGCCATCCAAGGGATCCAGCAGGAGCCGGGAGCCCAGTGAATTGCAACCTCGGACTCGGCTAACGTGAGTTCGGCACAAACGTTACAAAAAGCCTCGAGTTCTGGAAATAAGTTTGAAGCTCTTCCCTCATAAGTTCCCACATGGAGGACTTTGTTTCGGGTTGATCCATCAGCCTTCATAACGTTGTGCGAGCGCACACAAGTTTAGAGGCCCTATCGAGGAACTAAGATGTTAGGGAAGCTTGGAGCCATCCCCTGGAGGACCCGTTCTCACAATGTTGGGGTGGGTGGTCGTCAAATTGAGGATCCCCTTTTCAATCGCGGCCAGGGTCTTACAGACGTAAAGAGGCCTATACGGCCCATAAGTTTAACTCATGATTTGCATGTCTGTGTCAAGGTTTTCTCTATTATAGACCCCCGTTGCCGGAGTTTCTAGAGCAAGCTACCAGTCGTGAAACCCAACGGATTTTGGGAATCCCCTTTGAATGGAAGCCAGGGGTTTCAGGCAAGGCATGTGTTGTATCCACGTCTGAGGCTGCAGCTCCGCATTGTGGACGAGCACTCGGTGCAGGTGGCCAGCAAAGACGGGATCCGGGAGGCCAAGCTTCCGGGCAACGCGCTGGTGCTGAACGCCTTCGCGGCTCCGCGGCGGCATGTAGCCCCGAAAGAGATCCGATGCATCTCCTTCCGATAGATTGCTTGAAGCGTCAGCGTCCATTCGTCAGCGGCAAGCTCGCCCAAAAAGACTGCCTTTGATTTTGTGGTCCTGTCGCTGTATATAAGAGTTGGCAAGTTGCCGGTGGCACTACATGAGTTTCATTTTAGATTTCCTTGCAACAGTCATGACAATTCAGGGGTAACCCAGGATCAATAAACATTTGGACGATGAATCAGAAAAGTTGGTCACTTGGTTGGAATCCTGATGGGTCATGTCATAGGGGCAGCCCGAAACATCTCAGGTGGCCGTCGCATCTTCGGCGACGCAGCTGTGGATTTGAGGTTCAGGGTTCTGAAGCGAATATCAAATGGTCAATGAAAGATGCCCAGCGACTAGCTGGCTCAGCGGCTACCCTTTTGAAGCGTTTGAAGAAGGCCATGTTTAGATGTCTACTCAGTTTTGGAACCCTGAATGGGGGTTTAAAGTGTTTAACATGATATGCGGCGTCAAGCAGAAAGGAAAAAGGCTGCGGTGTCTTTGCGTGTGAGTGGGCAAGAGGCGCTGAGACTCTAGTGGGAAGATTGATTCGTGGGGTGGCTTGTCAAAGGCAAGCAGGCTGCAACAGCCGCTTGAAGAAGGATCTTGTTTCCTGTTTTCGCATCTTTTTTGTTTTTGCGCTGTGGAGCATGTGCTTGGGATTTTGAGATGCCGTTCTGCGACCTGGTGTTCTTGCCTTGTTGCTTGCCTCTTGGCGGCGGCAAGTCTGGGCCGTGCCAGTCCGAAGACCTGTGACGTGCGTCATGTCACTGGGTACTGGGGGCCTAGGGCTGCAAGGCAGTTTTAGGCGTTGAACGGGCCAGCATCCGGTAACTTGTGCACGTTGGATCCCCGGCAAGGGACCTGTGCCCCAAACGGAGATTCCTATGTTGCATGTTGGGTGCCATGTTGATTTCCGCATGTTGCGCGTTGATCCCGTGAATCAATGAGAAGTTGCAATGATCCCTGCCGTTGGGGACTGATCGAGGCCAATTTGTTGTGAGACCGATTTGAGCATGGCAATTACGGATGAGCCTGGATGATTGACCATGAGGATCTCACCAGGTTGGCGCTGAGCAACCAGACTCACTTTAACCGATCCGACCAGAACCCGTTGGTTTAGTGCTTCTTTGTTTACCCGCCCATTGTCGGCTTCCTTTCCCCTTCAGGTACTTGGCAATATGCAGAGGAAGGAAGAGACGCTGGCCCCCGACATAGCAAAGCGCTGTGAGGGCCGCACAGCGCCGCATGGTGTGCCACAAAAATGCACTATAGGTATACCACACCTTTGGCTTTCTTGCGGGGAGGTGAGTGTGCGTGCAAAACCTTGTTGGGCAAGTTTCAACTTGGACAGGGCTACAGGGGCATCAAAAGGAGCTCGGGTAGTTGATAGCTCGTACTTTCACATCCCATCCCCTCCTCGCTGGCTGGCCCATTAACATGCCTCAATTGTCCGTCAACAATTTGTCTTTTGCGCAGCTTCTCAATTGGCCATCCTGGACAACCCTTTGGGCGTCCCTTTTTGGTTCAGTTTTGATCGTGATCCCAAAGAGTGAACTTCTATTTTGAGTCCTTTCAGCATGTGAGAGCCCCAGACCACTCCAAACCGCCGCTTCTCTGCCATTGTCCTTCCCATTGTCTTGACCCTTTGCCCTGTGAGTCGCCTCTCATTCCGCTTGTTGGCTCCAGCACCAACTCGCGCGTGCCCCGGGCCTTGTTGCCCGCCATGAACATGGCCTCACGTGGTCCCTGCGCCTCGGCGCCCCCGGGCGCCTTTGGCGGCCCTATGGCCTCGATGCCGCAAGGCGGTGGCAGGGGTCATGTCCTGGGTCCTGATCTCCCGTTGAATGCTGGAACCATTCATCGGCGGTTGGGGAGTTGAGGCCCTTAGTTGTTTTTGAAACCGGCAAACTACCAAAGCAACCCAAGAACCATTCAGCAGAGGCATTCCCACTGCACGGAAGCGCTGATTGGAGGCGCAGCTGTTGGTCAAGCATAAACAGGAACCTGAAATGTGTATGACATGTCATATCATAGATAGATGGCCATTCCTCAGCCTAGTGCTGGAACCTGGACTGTGGAACCTTGTTACACACAGGTTTCCTGTCCCGGCGTGCAGAAAAGGCAGCCTGCAAGTCCCAACATTCAGTTTGACTTGTCGTCAGTTTCAGCCGCAGCTGGAACCCCAATCAGTGCGGTTCTTGTAAACCATGGTTTTGCACCTGCTTACTGTTTGCCCATTGCTCTCCTGGCCAGGTGGCTACGCGATGGCTTCCATGCCGCCGGGTGGCGGGCGACCCCCGCAGGGGCCGCAGTCGATGTCCATGCAGTCCCTCGCGGTGCCGAATACTTCTGCACCATGGCAGCAGCACTTGGGATTTGAGCGGTGCACATGAAGTATCACCTGCCCTGGGCGTCCAAAGGCGGTTTTCAAGTGCATTCACGCGTTTAGTCCTGTCTTGTAGCAAGCCGTTCTTGTCATTGCCAGGCTATTTGAAATGGTTCCCAACGATACACTTGCTCCTTTTTCGATCCAGCGCACATGATCGACGATTCTCGGCCGGCGTGTTGGCTGAGGCTCGCACTCAGTCCCAGCCCCCCGCTTCGCAGAATTCCGGGGAACAGCTGCAGCTCGCCCGGCAGGAGACGATCCAAAGCCGGGACAGACGTGTAAGGATCCAAGCATATCGGGCCCACGCCCTTTTGTCAACTGGATGTTGCGTCAAACAACTTTCTTTACTCAAAGGCTAGAAGATGACAAGCCCTTTGTTCCCCCAAAGTCCACAAGAGGACATCGAATAACCCCCTAACGCCCAAAGCCTGCGTCATCCCAACCCCCCCCTCCCCCAGCACGCCCGGCTGGCGAAGGAGCTCACGGAATGCCTGGACGTTGCGCTGGAGAAGCGGCGGGACCTAATCCGGCGCCTTGGATCAGCCGGAGTCAAAAGGATGTGTTTGAACTTGCCTCCTTGATTTCTGTTTTTTGAGGGTGCTGTCTTTGGGGTTGTAAAGGGAAGCCAAGAGGAGAACCCACCATTTTGAGGGAGAAGGGGGGGGGAGGGGGGCTATTTTCACACATACTCCAATTCATCCTTGGGGGAAGCAAGGGGGAGATTTGGGATGACGGTACCTTGGAGATTCCTTGCTTCAGGTTTGTTGTTGGTAATCTGCCCGGTGTTCTTTGCACATTGCCTTTTGCTTTGCCAACTCGCATCTTCCTGCGATGCCTAAACGGAAAAAGGCTGGTGTGTTTGGATCACATTCAGCGAGCCCCTCCAGGTGGCTTGGTTCTTGCATATTTCGGATCCAATATGCGAGTACCCATTGTGGCACGCAAAGACTATGATGAATGTTCCCTTCATAGGCAACACGGTTTTTTGGATGGTGAGTTATCATACTTTGTCACAAAGGTCCCTACAAGGGAAGCTTACCTCAAAATTGGGCATGTGCTTGATAGGCCAACAGCCAGGTTCTTCCCTGAATGAAGCCGCGAGGAAACTTACATATTGTGATTCCACGGGGTGGCCATGGATGGCCTTCATGTGGTTGGAGTGGTATCTTTCCGATATGTCCCTTCGTTCATGGCTGGGGTTAGGGCTTTTATTTTGTAGATGGTAGACCGGGTGCTTGGCTCACGTTTCTTCATTCCGCACAGGAATCCACGAGGAACTTGATGCCGTTCTGATGAGCTCACCCTACCCACAAGAGGTTGCCCCTCTTGAGCTACGAGCCGTCCTGAGTATTGACACCACCTCCTCTAAAGCATGATGAAATCACTCTCTGGCTTCAGCATGTGGATATTTGTTTTGCGGAATCGGCTTGACACGGAAGATAAAACCATCAGCCCAGCTGTGTCCACCCAAACGCTGGTGGCCCGCTAAGGACAAAGCCAGATGGAGCAGTTGTGGGGGGGTGGGGGTAGTTTATGCAGGGGGGTCATAAGCAATGTATGGTGCCATGGGTTTCACACGTGGATGCTTCAAGGCATGTTGTTGTGTGTTTGGTAAGTATGTCCATCCTGCGGGGCACCAACGCGAATGAACGTCGATCTGTTTGGCTTTTGAAGCATGTTAGGCAGATGGACACGCTCCACAACCGCACGTCCATGCCCGGCAACCAGGGTTTGGTGTCAGCCTACGACCAGCCTGAAAGCCAAGCCACGCGCCACCACCTCGCACCTCGCCGGAGCTCCAGCGGGGGATGCAGACATCCTCTCGCTTGTTTCTACTGCAATAACATCCATTGATTAGGTTCAGGCATCAAGGCTGCAGCCCTTCGAGATCGTTTGAACATGAATAGAATTTGTTGATTGGCTGGGAATCAAGGCTGGAGTTCCTAGAGTTTGTGTTCAGTAGGTAGCATCTTCCAGCTTAAGCATCAGGTTTGCAACTCGGCGTCAAGGTAAGTGCCTACAGCCGTTGATTCCCGGCTTGCACATCAGGAATGAGGCTCGGATGTACTTTAATACAAGGGGCAGAAGCCCTGTGGGGAACTGCATTCCCGCAACGCACGTTTGAATCTGTGGAGCTCGGCAGAGACTAGGGCGAATGGATTTGCAGTTCGGTTAACATACAGGAGGTTGTGGCACGTTTAGCACATGGGGGACTTCATGTCCCACAACACCAGGGGACTCTGCAAACTCTCGGGAGTAGGATTTGTTTGGTTGCCTTCTATGACCTCGGCCAATTGTTGCAACAAATGATGACTCAAGCCGCAAGCCCACCATCAAACTGCAGCCTGGCTGGCATTCAACTCATTAGTCGCCCAATGAAACTCTGAACCCATGGGCGACTTGATCAAGCAAGTCCTTGTTGATTGTATCTGGGTGGGAGGGCACCAATGTAACTCTTTCCACGGAAAGCGCCTTGGATGCCTTCAGCATGACTCTCTTGCAGTGATCACTAGGTGAACAGGCTCACACCCAGGGTTTCTTGGGATAGGCGTTTGCAACCATTTTGCACTGCGTTCACTAGGGCCTTTCAAGCAGCCAGATTTGGGTCCCTGTCTTTTGAGACGGACAGGTTGTTGATATACTTGCCGATGCCACTGGCAACTGCAGCTTCACGCTGAGGATGAGATCGACTGGCGCGTGGCCCGAGTAATGCAACCTGGCAGATTTCAGGTTATATAACTACCCTGATTGGACCGTGCCCCCTTTGGGGGCGGGGAATATGACTTTAGGTGAAGAAGCCCTGAAAAAGGTGTCATGATTCGGCTTGGGGTCTGGCCGAAGTGTTTGTGGGTGAATCTTTGAGACTGGCTTTGATTGCATTGACGCGTCCACCTGAGGGGGATCCTGTCATTTTGCTCAGCCCACCTTTTGACCCTCCGAACGGCCTTCCTTTTGGCCATTGCATCCCCAAAAGCTGATCAGAGCGTCTCTTTCCTTTGGGCAGATTGGAGCTTCTGTTTTGCCCAGGTGTCTTCAGCCCATGGTCCTTCGGACCGACCGGCCTTTGGAAGACTTGGCAACACACGTCCACTTCCATGAATGGGCTGGGGCTACAAGAGGCTCTCCAGTAAGAAGGGTCCTTCCGGGAGTGTCTCTTCTTTCCCGAATGTTTTAACAAATCTGTGTCAAACCGCGGGCAGACCCACGTCTGGACCCAGGTACTGCTTGGACCCCAAATACAACACCGTGGTGGACCCCGCCAGAGCCTACGAGATCCAGCAACCCGGAGTGGCAAGAAACAAGCTCCGAGGGGGTTTACCCACGGTTTGGGTGTGACATTCCCTCCTGCTGAGTCAGTATCAATGCCACTGCCAGTGCATTTACACCATGATGCCCTGGTCATAGTGGTTGATAGTAGGAACATCTTATAGAGACATTAAAACAGTTGTTCTGTATTTCGATAAGGCAGAACTCCAATCATGAGCGCTTCCCCTCGGAAGCGTTGCAAAACTGGCTTTCCCGAAGCCTCCAAGGCCCGGCCGTTTGCCCTCGTTTGGGGAAGCGCACCGACCCCAAGCACATCCTTCTTGAGAAGAAAAGGAGGCACCATATATGAAAGACTACGCAGCTGCGTTTTGGTGAGGTGTGCCAAATCCAGTCCCAAATTTCGTGCGTAGCTAGCCAATCACGACTCAGCCAAGGAGGCACTTGTTCGGATTTGTCGATGTTCCCTCACGCAGTTTCTCGTGTTTCCCCCTTGAGGGAATCTACCGGGTAGGCCGCGTCAGCCTCACACTACTTATGGCGCCTATGGCCATAGAATATTTGGAACTAACTTTCGGGAGCACAGCTTCGTCAGGCCTGACCCAGCTAGGACATATACAAAAGGAATGTTTGCAACAGAGGTCCCCACGTACTTTCTGTTCTCCTGGGGTTAAGCATCACCTTTTGGGCCACGCAAACTCCAGTTTTTCCCGGATGTCCCTTGGCTGTTTCCCGAGCTTAAAATTTAGGAAGGGCAAACCGCAGCCAAGGCAGAAGAAGCTCGACGATGGCCGCCCGGTTGCATCACCGCGACACGACTTGGTCGCATTCCCAGCCCATCCCACGTCGCGAGCTCAGGCCAAGCCATCCAGAAGCAGCTCTGCAGCGAGTCCATTGTCGAGTGGGAGGACCGCCTGCGCCCGGTGGGCCTCACATTGCCGCTCCAGGAGCGAGCGAGCGGCCTGCGCGGTTTCTGGCCGTTTCTCTGGAAGCTTGTGGGCTTCCAGTCCCATGTTGCATGCTTGATGTTTGTTTTGTTGAAGTGCCGGAAAGAAAAGGGAAACCAAGGGAGCTCCTCCCTGAAGATAAAACCTCTAGGGTTGGTGGATGTTGGTGGGCGGTCTTGCCCGGCCCCAGCAACACTGTTGGAACTGGCAGGCCCACTTGCAAGGAACAAATCGTACTGGGCCCATGCAAGTGGTGCACCCAACATTATCCAAATGCTGGCGAAAAGAAATCCGCCCTATGCATATGCTTTGCCTCGGTCAAAACGATCACCAAGATTTGATCAACTCCCCACATGGAAATGTCCTTTCGCTTTAGGCGATTGATCTTGTTGAACCATAGGCAAGACCTCTTGCAGAGAAGCCCCGGAAGTTTCATGGGGCTCGCCCCGTTTTGGAGCACTCAGGCAAGTGCTGCAACCTTGAGGTGCCTCGACTTCTCTGAAGGCAGATTTCTGGGTTTTTTGCCGGCTGACTTGAACCGCCTGCGAAACGAAGAGCCTCGCGTTCGTGAAAATCCATGTGGCTGGGGGTTTGGGACCCGCTGCCAATCGGTGGGTCTTGAAACCTGCAAGCTATTTCGACATCATTTGACTATCAAATCGCCGCCTCAGGCTTCAGTGCAGTTACTCCATTTCCAACAGCCCACATTCATGTTTACCAGTCAGAATTCGTCCCTTCCAAACCCGACACGTCCAGCCGTGCTTCAATTCTCATGTTTCAATTTGCTCAGTGACACAAACCAACAAGCCACGGAGCCTCACCAGCCAGTTGAATCGAGGTGAACCCCCCTCCCGTCTCCCGCTCTCGCAGGAGCGCGTCGCGGGCGCCCGAGTGCCTTTCTATGAGGCCAACCCCTCCTACTCAGAGGAGACCGATGTTTGGGGCAGCAGCTCGGTTAGCCGCGAGGGCTATGGGAAGGATCAAGCACTCCCAACCTGGCACACTTAGATGTAAGCTGCAGGTGTCACGCGATTTGGTTGGGAGGCTCGAGCCTGGCGCCCTCCCAACAAACATGTTCTGAGAGCCCTTTTGGAAGACTTGGAGAGCTTGTGGACTTCCATGTTTGTTAGCCGGGGAGTACTGTAGTCAGTGAGTTGCTTATATACTCATCTTTACAGGGAATGATTTTCTTTTCTATGAAGCACGCTAGCACCAGGAAGACTCATGGTATTCGGAAGGGCCAGGCATTGCCCCTGGATGGAGAACAAGACATCCCATTCCCCAGTTGTTTGCAATAATGCTCTCCCTTGCGGAACCAGGGAAGCGTTTGGCCCAATGAGCACGTGCGGACTGCTTCTAGAATGCCCCATGTGAGCCAACCACGTCTTCTTAAAGCCGCATCATGGGGGAATCAAACGACTTGCTCAAGCTAGCTAACAGCCCAATGTTTGTTTCTCCTATGGCATCCCATCCCAAGAAGCTTTCGAGCATACCCCGCACATCTTATGCAAGGATTCTTCGTGGGAAGCTTGGGGAATGCTCCAAGGTATGTTGGAGGCTTCTACTGTCCATGAGTTTGTTCAAGAGAATCTGCCACATGCATAAAATAGCTCCCCTCAAACAGTGAGAAGGTTTCAGCGAGTCGGCGGTTTTTTGGTCGGCCATGAGCATTACTCTCAGCACGAGGATTCCTCTACTACCCTTCCTTCTGTGTGTGTGTGTGTGTTGTTTTTTCTTTTTTGTCCGGGGCTTTGGCACTTGGGCGTTCCTTCCAAGGAACGCTGGGCCTGCGGACTCTACAGGAAGCGCTCCACGGGGACGTCTCGCAGCCTATGCCCCGACCCGCGCCTCAGCGCAAGGGGCGAAGGGGAGGTTTCCATGCAGAGTTGCAGCGGAGTTCGGTTGGAAGACGCCATGTCCTAGTGACGTAATTCAAGGGCGGCTTTGGCGGCTCCTTTCTGCTTGGAAGATTGCAAAAACGGATTTGGGCAAGTTCTCGGGTGAAGTTGGCAAGTTCTGGTGACCAAAAGGGTGCTTGCAACCTTACCTATGGTGAAGGCTCCTTCTCACACGGAATCCAAAGTTTCTGGTTCACCCAACTGGGGTGGTTCTAAAGAGAATCTATTTGGAGATTGGGCATCCCTTGGTTAGGTTGTGAGTCGAGATTCGCCCTTGAGAGATGCGTCTTTTGCTTTGGCGGCCCACCCTCTCACTTCTAGCCACTTGCTTTTTTTTGGGGTGGAGTGGCACTGTGCTGATCGGTTTTGGGATCGCGTTTGTTGGCGAAGGGGGTGGGGGGCTTGACAGAGGCCGCTTCGAAATCATTGAAGTCGTTGGTGCAGTTCCTTGTGGAAAGCCTCTCGGAGGTTTCAAGGTAGCCGCACGGAGCCAGGTGATGTTCCCAGAGGAGTACCAGAACTTCAAGCAAGGCATCGATTCTCGGAAGGGCGGGTGCGCTTGATCGACTGGTCCCTAAATTATCCGGTGGCCCCCTTCCCGTTTCTTGTGTGTAGGGTTGCCCCCTTTGGAATGTGCACACTCCCCCGTAAATCGAACTACGGGAGGGGCCGGGGGGTGACCCTTGGAGTTCCTTGTGGTAGCGGTTCTATTTTCCCATTGATGGGGAACCCCGTCTGTTTTTTAATAAGAGATTCTGAAATCAGAAAATGGTCGGCTGTGCTGTCCAAGGTGTACAAAACCATTGGCCCTGATTGGGCGGCCAGAGGCAACATAGGCTACCCTAAAAATAGAAATCGGAGCCCGTTTTATTCAGGGACCTTCGGTCAAGTAATTCCAATGTGTTTGATTTGGGGAGAGCGACACGTCAGACGGGGGCGCACCATGCAGCAGCAGGCAATCGTTGCTTGTCCGGGGTCCAAGTAGATGCCTCATGCGGCATGCGCCACTGGCGGACCTCAAACTCTTCAACTTAGAAAGGTCTGAAGAAATTGAGGACCACGCTGCAGCACGGCTTGAGATCAGCGATTTTTCTCCCAAAATCAGCTGACAGATTGGTTGGCAACTTGGCGTCCAGAAATTAGGGGGTTTCTGTCGCAGCTCTCTTCCTGGCATAGCTGGGATGATCGCTCCATGCAGGCTATCAAATCGTTCCTCATGCACAAAGGCGACATCTTCTCATGGCTTACCGTTGTCCGGACCGATGCAAAAATCAAATTGGCCACAGGTGCAGTTTCCATCTTAGTCATATGAGATGAGTATCGAACGTCGAGTTTGCAATTGCTGCCTTAGGCTTTGAGCACCGACATGACAGAACTTGTTTGACTCGTCGCTTGAAACAAGCGCCAAATGCAAAGCAATTGAGCAAGCTGCGGTTGTTGAGAAAACGAGTCGCTGGCCCCCATGATCTCCCAACTCAGACAGGCGGCCGTGGCTCTTTGGATTCTGTCTCTGACACAAGCGTGGCGGAGACAGGCGGCCGTGGCTCTTTGGATTCTGTCTTGGCTCTTTGGATTCTGTCTGTGCCACAGGTGGCGCAGACACGACTCTGTGGCTCTTTTTGGATTTTTTGTGCCACGGGTGGTTGAGAGTGGTGGACGTGGCTCTTTTCGGGTTCTGTTTCTGTGCCAGGCGGAGACAGACGGCCGTGGCTCTTTGAACTCTGTCTGTGCCACAGGGGTGGCGGAGACAGGCGGCTGGATGCTGTCCTAGCTTTTTCGATTGTGTCTGTGCCAAGGGGGGTAGACGGTTGTGGCTCTTTGGATTCCGTCTCTGCCACGGTGGCGGAGACAGGCGGCTGTGGCTCTTTGGATTCTGTCTGTGCCACGGGGTGGCGGGGTCTGCGCCACTGGATGAGGCACTGGCAGGCTGCAGCAATCAGGAAAGTCCTGCATCTCGAAACAACCTGCAGCCGGAGAACCTCGTACTTCTACACAGTCTCTGCTCATTGTTTGAATCAACGCCCTACCACTCCACAGTCACCCTGCACCCGGTTCACTGTGGCTTATCTGAGGGTTGCAACGTGAAAGTCCTTTCCTTGAGATCCCTTACTTTGGTTGGGTGAATCACACTGAACTGCCGCTCAGATGCCCCAGCACCTTGCGCGGCATGCTTCCCCTCGCCAGGCAGGTATGTCCGGGACGATTGCCCGATCTCATGAGAGAAATTCGAGCCGCCGCGATGCGCACGCGGCGCGCTGTTTGTGAAAAGTCGCCCGGCCTTTGCCAAGCATCAGCTCACGGAGTCGGAGCCCCAGACCCTTCGGCCAAGAGCTCAAGAGTTAATTGGGAAGCGCAAAGCAGGGTCCAACATGAGGCACAAGTTCTTTCGGCCAGTTGTGACGATTTATAAGACGTCCCCTTTAAAACAGGGCAGACAGGACAGGCAGGATAATTATTATTATGTTTGGAGGCGTTTCCGACGGAACAGCTCAATGTGTGCAACCTATGCCTCCTACTCGTACCACAGTATATACGCTCTTGGAGTTGTTTGTTCGTTTGATTGGCACTGGTTGAGTTTGGCCAGTTAGTGTTTTGGTTGCTTATTTGCTTGAGTGTTTGCTTGGTTTGTTGATCTGAAGATGCAGAATAACGGTTCGGGTCTGAAGAAACAGACGGCATTGCCGAAGAATCTTGGGCCGACAGAAGGCAGACCGTGCGAGGGCAGTACTTCTCACGTGCTAAAGTCAGGCTGTGGTAGCTTACGGCTAAACTCACCCCCCTCGTGCTCCATCATTTTTAGTTAGTGGGTAAAGCATCTCATATTCAAAGTGGACGGATTTGGGCGATTTATGTCAACCTCACAGCCGGGGTTGTGCAACCTCACTTACAATGACAATGAAGCTTCTTTTATCATCAGTAGTTCCACATGTTTGCAGTAATCCTGACGAGTTCTCATGAAACGAGCTCGCCCGTGAAGGTCCCTGGACTATGAATCCCTCCGAGATGGATTGCAACCCAGGAGAGTTGACTGGGCAACAGCCTGATTCTGGTTCTCGGCGGTAAAGGCGCCATGAGATCCGAGGACTGCTCGTGCCACTTCCACAGCGCAGAAAAGTGGATGGCGGCCTTCGTTTCCAGGATTCCGACACCCCGGCCTCCCCTACATGAGGCTTTCGGGTCAGGTTGTGATTTGTTTCAAGGATTTTGTGTCTTGGCGGACTAGCGGCGCATGGCTTGATGTTTAACTATTTTTTCAGGGCCCACATACATGGTTTGGAGCAGCAGGAGACAATGGCCCTGACTCACGCGCCACTAGATCGCGATCCTGTCCCGATCCGCATTTGTATGAGTTCCTGGGCACCCGAAGACAGCTTGGGGGCCCAAGTGTGTGAACAGAGAGTTTTGTTCCCCAAACTGGAATAAGAAACGATGAAGTATGGGGCGTGACTCCTCACCCCCCCACGACAAGCAGGACACCGGCCCAAAAAATCAAATGGACCCAACTGCCAGAAGGACACAAGGACCGGAGGTCCACTTGAACCAATGCAGGGTTCCTCCTGCACATTCCTGCGCTTTTTATGCTTGTGTTCTTCTTTAACTAGTTTGCAAACTGGCGGGTAGCCACGCTGGTTGGCTCATGCTGGCGGAATTATCCCATCTATGATTCCACTCGCTCCGCCCGGCCCAAGCCTCGGTTCGCGCCATTGGGCGCCCCGGAAGCGCTCCTTTCAGCCGGAAGCGCGGAGCCCTGGGGGTGACGGAAGAGGCAGCTACCTTCCTACCTGCTTGGTCTTCGGTTCGTCCTTGATCCTATTGATTTGTAGGATCCGATCTGGTTTCTATCCAAGAGTTTTACCACCTGAAGCAGGCGGACGATTAGAGACCCTTTAGCAACCTAAAGGGGACCAAGAGGAAACACCGAGGAACGTGGGGTTCCAGCAACAGACAGGGAAGTGCAGAAGAGCTCTGCATTGCAACAGGACCATTGTCTTCCAAAGGGGCCGGATTTCGTGTTGATGGAAGCTTTCTCCTCCCCTTCACAAGGAAGGGTGCATTGATGTGTTTGAGGCACGGTGTGCAAACCAACCCAACCCAACCCACCCCGTACAGCCCGCTGGTTGAGCTATCTGAAAAGGTGCATTGCTCTTGCAAAAGGGGGGGATGCTCTAACACGCTTTCTTGCCACAGCTGCAACGATTCCTTTGTTAGGAAATCGCGGCCCTATTTTTTCCTAAGCTAAAGGTTGGCAGAGGAGCTGACTGGAGTTGCCTGACTCGAATTTGTTAGGCGCTTTCTCGTTCGCCCAGGTGTTGCTCTTTATGCAAATGGTACCATGGTGTTGTGCAGAAGAGCGTTTGCTGCTTGAGGGGCAGCCGGCAAAAACCTCACACCTACACAACATCACCATTTTGAACTTGTCAGTGTATGTTGCATTGGCACATCTCGACTAGTGTTTGCCTCACTCAGACTCCAAATGAAGTTTCTTTGTTGCGTTTGTTGCGTTTGTTGGTGTGTTGGAATTGGATGCGCCAGGAAATGGACGATATGCTGCACGGTCTCAGCTTGCTGGGACCCCGCATTGAGTCGCCGGGGCGCCCAGGGTGAGAGAGCCCTTCCAAGCCGCCAGCACAGCGGTTTCGCCCAGCTCCCTGTTCCCGCAGGTGGGTTCTTCGACTGGGATACATGTTGAAAATCCAACTCTGCCCGCTGCCTCACCATCTTTTCCAGGGAACGTTCTTCAATAGTGGTGGATTGAGCGGCATCGCTGGATCACAATTGGGAATGTGTTTTGAACTTCTAGTTCGTGAGCCACCTGCATGGCTTCACCTTTCAGGCAACCTCCAAACTTCCTAACATATGCGAGTATGTCAGAAGAAGAGGTCAGTTTTGGACCTTCGTGACGTTTGTGGCCCTTCAAAGTCTCAAAATGTGTCGCCCTGTTACAAGTACAATTGCGTGGCGTGTAGGTCGGTCAAATCAGCTTCGGATCATCCCGTTGAATAAGAAAGACTTTGATGGCTTGTGGCAACGGTACCTACGAATGTCCATGACCCACGACCCATGATTCCTACATCAGAGCTTCGCCCAGGTTCCGCCAAGGGATGCCAGATGTCCACTAAAGTCATGGACAGACAGAGCCCTTTCTTATGAACCTGCAAGGGAGGCTTGTTAAAAACCCACGAGTGGGTCAAACATCGACAATTGCATCAAAATCAAATCCCGCAGGAGAGGTTTTTTCTGAATTCAAAGCGTCAAGCAAGGCAGTGCGTCCGCCTTAAACGATCCACACAAATATGTGAAATATGATCCAGGGCCTCATGAACACACCGACGCGCAAGTTAGGCCAAGTATTACCACCACCCCCAAGGATGGCGGCCAACATCGAGAAGCTTGCTGCTGAGGCGCAGGGATCTGCCCCCGGGGAAGATGTCATTGACAGGACTTGTTTCGTTTTAAGGAGCTCGACATGTGCAACTTCCACCCCCCCTCCAACATCCTGTGCCTTCAGAACAGAGGCTTCCTGCCCCGCGAGGTCATGGAGCAGCGGGGCTTGCTGCAGCAAAAGGCGGAGCAGGCGGAAACTGCGCAGCGCGGGGCCCAAGCTTCGCCCCAGGCTGGGAGGGACGGCCAGCTTAGCAATTGCGCAGTTGGTGGCATACACTTGGGCATCCAGCAGGACATGTTAGTTGGGATCCAAACACGGTTGGCAAGCAGTTGGGGCCTTTGGGTTGGTTGGAGCCATGGAAGCGGGTACGTTGCCTGCATAGACCTTCCGTGGGTCCGATGGAAGCTTAGAAAAGATGCCACAACATGCCACAACTGTCCCTTGAGCATTTGCGGCACCGCCTGCCAAAGTCTCGCGCGAGTGAAAATTTGGCAGGCTGAGCCGAGCTGGCAGTGGCCATATAGAGCAGATTGGTCTCTTTTTCACTCGGAATACCTCACCTGACTCTCTGAGGTCAATGCAACAACATGAGTAAGATCACAAGCATACAAAATCACACAAGCAACACGCAAACAAATCATACGGCATCCACTTGACGTCGCGAAAGGCTTTGAAGATACCCTTCGGCTGAGCTATGGCGGCACCGGCACCTGTTGCTGAGCCCGAAGTTGCCCTCACTGACCAGGCCATTGAGGACTGACGAGGATCATCAAACGATCCCCCAGGCAGGACCCAAGAAGAGTTCCTATTTGTGCCACCCTCTCTAAAGTAAAGGCAGGTGAACCATCACCCACTTCGCACCTCCCCCACTCCGGTGGCAAAAGCTCAGCTTTTGCGCAACGGGCAGCCTGACGCAATTCCTGCAAAGGTTGACAGCTGAAACAAGCCATGAGCTGCTTGACCAGCCTGAAGCCGTTAATTTGAACATCCTTCCCTTCGCCACATGAGGCACCACAAGAGGCAGGACACGATGTCATATACAACTTTTTTCAACACGTGAGCCCACCCCTGGAACCGTTCACATCTCCAAATAGATTTTGTGATGCGCTGGAGAGATTAGGGCTGGGCAACATTGGCTTGAGCAAGAGGCCGTGGACCCCTTGTCTTTGAAACAAGGGGCGATGCGCAAACAATGCTTGAAACAATTCCACGTATATTGAAGCAGGTAAGTAGGTCTGATGATTTCCTAACTTCATGGCGACTCTTCTGCAGATCAACATGGAACGCAACAGACCTTTATTTTATCAGAAGCTCCGCTTTGTTTGGTGAGATACGTTTTGTTCGGTGTCAGTCCAGGCCACATGTCGATGTGGTGCATGCCACTCTCGCCGGCCGCAGGATTTGTTGCAAGACGCTGCCAAGGCTTGGTGCACGCCCCAGGAGCGGAGATGTGAGATAGATGTGTCCGCCGGACAAGGGCCAAAAAGGAATGAACTGGATGGGGTCCTATTTTGGTTATTTTTGGATACAAACTATCCCATGTTGGTTGGAACTTAAGTCCGAGATTTATTCAATAAAGAATCCTGGAGAAGAGATGAAAGGGACCAATTAGATCGGTGTGTCGTTTGGAGGGCACCCATGTTTGAGTGTCAAAGAAGGATGGGGTCAAGAGAATTGGTGTTACCCCTCAAGGAAGTGGCAATCGCCTATTGATGCAGGAGAAGGACTCGAGCAGCTGGCAAGAGTTCGTCAAGTTGGTGGAGAGACTCGGCCCGCAGTCCCAAGTAGAAGCTGAGTTGCTGCGGCCACCCAATTTGTTGTACCAAGCGGATATGTGTGCGTGACACGCTCGCCGCAGCGGTGAAGCTAAGTTCGCGAGCAATCGGCCGGCGTGCCATGCGCCCAGGAAGCCGAGCATCGATTGGGCCAAAGGCGTTGCGCGAGCCAA